AACTAGTGCACAGATTTTCGATTTTCCTTTTGGTTTAGACATTTACTCTCTTCTCATTGAACAGACAAATATATACGGTCAGCAAAAAAAAAAAAAAAAAAAAAAAAAAAAAAAAAAAAAAAAAAGCCCAGAATTTATTGCATCTGAAGACTATACGAGAAGATTTATTGGAATATTATTGCTTACAGGATATTGTTTTTTACCTCAAAAAATGTATTGGTCTTTTGATAAGGACATTTCTGTTCCTGTTGTACGAGAATTGATATCATGTTTGCAGTACAGGAACATGAAGCAGAATTTGCATTTGACAATAGTCAAATTGACAATACTGATAAATTAAATGATGTGAGACTGTATCTAAACTTACTAAGTATCACCACTTTTTACTACTGGAAATACAAAGTCTCTTTTAGATTTCAGACACAAGAATGCATTATTTCTTTTGCAAACTCCTATTGAGAGTGTAGAATTAGCCAGAAATAGATCAGCAACAGGAAGACCTAGTAAATTCAGCATTCAAAAACCACTGCATGGAGATGGTAGACATTTTATCGTAAAGTCCGCTGATAACAAAAGACTTTGTTGTAAAGAGTACCATAGCCAGACTGTTTCCAGATGCAAGGTATGTAATGTAGCTTTACATCATGATCGTAATCAAGCTTTTCATGCTTGAATCTTTCAAATGAAATAATCTGTATTTGTAAAAGAAATACAATGTATATTTTAATATTAAATTAATTACAAGTAAAGTGATTTGTAGATTTATAAAACGTTATAACGCTAAAAAGTAATCCTGAGCTCCACTCAAAAGAAACATCACACAAGTACAATTCTACTCACTAAACATCCGTAGTCTTATTCCGCTGATGTTGCGCCAATGCAACACTCGCTTTTTCCACAAGTAAGAGCATTTTTTTTATTTTCAATGTAAATTTATGTTATAAATGCTTAATTTAATATTTATTATTTTCATGAGAAAAAAACATTCCTTGTAGTTTTGGCAGTTAATGGGTTAAAATAAAGAATAAAAAGGTCTACTGCTGATTAAAATTAAAAGTTTGCTTTACATATTTTTATCATATATACAGTATACATAAGAAAAATAGGTAAATCAAACCTATAATTTAAATTAGCACTAGTCCTTTAATTATTCATTTCAATTTGGGTATTTTCCTTCTCTATTCTAAAATTAGTAATTACTTCTCAAGACTGCATCATTTCTATATTAATCATATCATATGACTTTTACATAAAGATGATGACATAGCTAATATGGAGAACCAAACTCTTTGTCTTAATAAGTTTTCATATTGGATAACTAAGCCCTAGCTTTCTGCAGCTCATCCTGGGTAGACTGCTGCTTTTTTGGTACACCAAGCTATCAAATGTAAATGTTTTGAATCAAGCATGATTAGAATGCCAAGTGAAATGTGACCACAAATATCAATTAAAATAAAAAAGGAATATTTAATCTCTCTCAGCTGCCATGTTTGCTCTTTGTCACGGATCAACATCCACCTTCAGAATCAAAGTTCCTACAATATAACATCTATAAAAGGGTAAATTATATATACAGTGGCTCCCAAAAGTGTTCATACATTTATGATTTTCATTGAAATAGGGATCCATCCATTAATTAAAAGCAAACTTTCTGAATGAGATTTTAATAATAAGATATATAATTTATTCGTAACAAAATTACTTTAAATATTTTTTAAATATAGCGAAACTTTTTTTAAGAAATTAATAATAAAAAAATGACAAACATTTTATCTCACAAAAGTCTTCGTACACTGAAATATTTTTGGACAAAATCAAAATTAAAATTATTGTTTGCCGCTTTTTTTAATTTTTGCATTGTGGTGGAATTTAAAAAATCTTTTGCTTTAATTTTTTCTTGTTTACTTCATAATATTTTATTTATTATTGAAAAATGGGTCACAGTCGTAAAGAAATTACAAACAGCATTCGAAAATTGATAATTCTTCACCATAGTAGTGATAAATCAATTCGATATATCGCGAAATTAGTTAATTTATCCCATTTTACAGTGCAGTATGTGATAAAACGCTTTAAAGAAGAAAATCAGATTGAAAACAAGGTAAGAAAAGGTCGACTGAGAAAGTTAATTAAACGTGATGAGAGATTTATTATTAGAAAATTTGTGAAAAACATACGTTTGAGTGCTGTAAAAGTGTCTGCAGAATTTAATGCAAAGTTTTCTATTTCAATTTCACCTGAAACTGTTTGACGAGTTCTCAGGGAAGCTGGATTTCATGGGTGTTCTGCTCATAAAAAATTTTTTGTTAGTGAGAAAAACAGAAAGCTTAGGTTTTCATTCGCAAAATCAATGATAAATACAACCGAAACGTACTAGAAGAATGTCCTATTTGCTGATGAAAGCAAATTGAACATTTTTGGTTCCAATGGTTGAATAATTCTATGGAGAAGAAAAAATGAGGAACTTCATTTTAAGAACTTAGTTGGAACAGTTAAGCATGGCAGTGGAGGTGTTCTTGTGTGGAGGTGCATGGCAGTATCAAGACTACGTAATTTTGTATTTATTGATGGCATAATGAATCACTCTCTTTATTTTAATATTTTAAGAGACAATTTAAAATTATCAGCCCAAAATTTCGGTATTGGAAACAACTTTTTTTTTAAATCTTGATAAGGATCCTAAGTATATGGTTCTCAACGTTCACCTGTAGTGGCTCTATAATTGTCCACAGGTTTCAAAACACCACCTCAGTCGCCAGATTTAAACCCCTTAGAACACATTTGGAAAGAACTGGAGATTAAAGTATGAACAAAACGAAAAGCAAACTCAAAACTGTCTCATGATGGAAGAATGGATGAACATTAATATAGAAATTACAAAAAACTAGTAAAATCTATTCCCAGATGTTTAAAAGCTGTTGGATGCTAAAGGATATCCTACTAAATATTAATTTAATGAAAAATGAAAATATTTACTAATATGTCAAGATTTTTTTGAAGAGTACAAAGACTTTTGTGAGATAAAATGTTTGTGATTTTTGATTATTAATTTCTCAAAAATAAAGTTTCGCTATGTTTAAGAAATATTTCATGTAATTTTGTTATGAATAGATTATAGATCTTATCATTAAAATCTCATTCAGAGAGTTTACTTTTAATTAATGGATAGAGCCCTATTTCATTGAAAATCATAAGTGTACGAACACTTTTGGGAGCTGCTGTATATGAATTGTGAACATTTTCTCTCCTTAAATTAATAACCCATACCAAATATTACACAATTCTGTATAGAATAATCATTTGATTATGGCGTTTTTAATAAAAAATGACACAAATGTGGTAACATTCATACAGCTCTCATTTTCACATACTGAAAGTTACAGTATTATTTCAAAGCTATATAATACTGAAATTATAATTCATGTACTTATTTATTTTCTACATGATTTATGATATCAAAATAGAAGAATATTTCAAAAACAACATTTAAGATTTAAGTCAATTTTTTTTAAACTTAGTTTTTATATTAAATTCCAAATATATATATATATATATATCATCTTTAATATATATATATATATATATATATATATATATATTAAAGATGATAATATCACATTTTCGTAATTAGGTAAACATGTATTTTGAACACACGCAAAATACAAACATATAAACACAAAGCTTCATAAGAAGTAGCATAACATCCATTACAATTACTTTGCTAATATTTGTATTATTTTCTCTCAAATGTACATGCTGAAAATAAGATTTTTTTACAAAAATTATTACTAAGCCATCCCTCTCAGACAAATACAAAATTCTGACTATTACACATTATTCAGAAACACTCACTAGAGATGCTAAATTGTTAAAGATGCGCCCACATTGTCCACAGCATTTACATTTTTAAGCAAAGCATAACATTTTTATAGCAATAGAAAATCAAATGGTATTTGATGCAACCACCAAACTAGCATGCACTTATTCCTCATTCAAATAATTAAAACATTCATATAAAAAAATCCTTAAAATTAAACGTTTAATTTTTACATATCAACATGCAAATATTTTAGTTTTAAAGAAAAATAAGTACTAAGGTAAAATTACTAAAGACTCGTAACAATTCTTATTTGACCTACACATAAAAGACATTGATACATGTATAGATACAGCAGTTTAAAAATTTTATTAGAATTTTAATCAATATTGAAGTAAATTAACAAAATATTCTTGTAAATGAGTGATTATTATTATTGTAAAACTCAAATACAATAATATTTTGATTTAAAAAAACCACAGCTGAGGAATAATAAATCAAGAAAGTCAAAAATCTTAACTTCATTAAAATTTTGGTCAATAATATTAAATTTTGCTGCTTGTTTGTTATCTGATACCGAGAAATATGCATTAATTAGTAGTCATGCCTTTTCTTCAGGTATAACAAAGACAGCCAGTTTCAAAAATAACAAATAATGGTCTTTTGACATTTTTTTTTTTCTGGTGGATACCGCTGAGCAATTGTGCTTCACTCATAGAATCAAACAAATGCTTTAAATGACATGCTTCAAAGAACATGAAAATAATTAAAATGTTGTTTGCAACAAGCAGATGGCCACAAAACAAACCCATACAGTTTAATGAGCTACTGTTTATTTTTGCAGTTATCACATCTCTGACTGCTGGATAACATACAAATACCAAAATTACTTCTTCTCATTCTCTAAAAGCTGCCACTTCCAGTACATAAAACACGCTGCACATTTTACATATTACATAAGATGAAAGTTAATGCTGCCATATTTTACATGTCAGAAATAAAAATATTATGATGCAAGACTACGAAAATGGGAAAATTATAAAACATGCATATGTTTAAGGAGGAGAGCAAAATATACTATTCACACCAGTGGAATGTTTGTTCACATCTTTTATTAAAGTTTGAAAACCTCAAAATATTTTACAGCAAGCTAAATAAAATGTTGACTTTCATCAAATCTTACCTTCTTAGAGTACTCCGAAATAAACCAATATTTTCTTCCTGTGGTTTTCTCACTAAACCTATATCAACTAGAGCTCTTCTGCAATTGACTACATCGTGATATAGCTTTTGACGATCCTCAAATGTCAGTTTTACCTAACACGAATTACATCAAATTCTTCTTTAATTTCTTAAAATAATTTACCAAACATATTTTAAAAGCCTAGAAATTACAAAAGATAAAAGCATATCTTCAAAAATTTGAAAAGTATTAAAATTTATACATAATATAGGAAATTCTTCTTCATAACCTAACTATCTAAGATAATAAAATGTAATAGTAATGGATATTCAGACATAAAAATTCTTTTCTTTGCACCTTGTTTCAGTATTTTTAGATTTTATGATTAAAATCCTGTTTTTTTTTTTTTTTAATTAATTATTTTTAAGTTATTCAAATTCTTTTCTAGTAGTATCACAATTTCACTTTTCAAGATTTTCAGCATTTGAATTTTGAACTCAATCTTATTATTTTTTTCCAATGTTGGGCACTAGCCATTATAGGCGTTGGCCATTACTGAGGCCAGAAGCAGTAGCCATTTTATTATAAAGGCACCTAATAATTGGGCCACCGTTGCTTCCTATGAAGTGACAGAAAATTTACATCCGTGCTTTCTCTAGAATTTGAATCCAGGCCCTTCAGTATGGCAATTACAGTGACTAGCCACTTTCCCATCTCAGCGGCATGCTAAAACTGTATATGACTATATAATTTCCTGATTATGAGATGATTCCTCATATTTTAGCTATATTCAGACTTCCATTCTGTAAACTACCATCTAATTAATTTTAGACTTTCCTCCCATGTTCACAATCCTATCCCATTCTTTTCTAATCTGCCACTCGCTAATGGAAGGAATAGCCAGATCTTCATCATTAAATATTTTAAATTCCCCTCTGTAGTCAATGCTCCAAAGACAGAACCTGATTTAACTGCAATCAAATAGAAATAAATCTGTTCATACAACTATTCAAAAACCTCAAATCTTTTAATAAGCATGAAGGAATTTGTAAAAGTGGGAAACTTAATGCCCATTAATTGCTTTTAATTTATTATTAAAAGAAACAGGAGAATATTAAATGAATTGCATTTATTTCTTTAAGTATATTTATGAGGCAAACATTATTAAAATAAAGTTTAATATTTTAAAATTAAATATTAAAACACATTTTAATAAATTAAAAATTAGTTAAAAAAATCAACATTAATTATTAAAATATTAATTATTGAGACAAATTTTAATAAAGCTTTAAGAAATTAATTTCTCAAATTTTATTTTAAGACTGGATTCTCATTTTACAAATTAGTTGATTTCAAATTTATATATCATTACTTTGATTTCACCAAATTAAAAAAGCAGATTTATACAAGTTATTTTAATCATAAATAAATTACAAATTTCAGTCATATTAAGGTGTCATATTCAGCAGAGGATATTGTAAGGTTACAGAACAAACAGTACATATTGAGTTTGAATGTTTCATAAAGAGGGGAGAATGGAATCTTTCCACATAATTTACTTATGCTTGTTAACATATATTTGTAATGTTCTTTTTGTGGAGCAATTCATAATGACAGCGATGAAGCTGCATGCTCCGACGTTAATTTTCCTCTCACCTCTAACTGAAATTGGACTTGATCCAAAAAGAAGGAGAAACATTCTCTCCTTGTATGACTCACGCGTTGTGCAATGGACAGTAAACAACGCTTGTAATCATCGCTAGATTTTTTTTTTCTTCTAATACCTAATAAATATGTTATTTTGTGTTTGCTAATATAATGATTGTGTTCCTTACATCGGCAGCTTGCATTACACTTTATTAAGGTAAGAACTTTAATTCTGTTTTATTTATCTGCTCGTCTCGATTTAGCAAAGTTGTAACAGTAAACAAAAATGAACCACGAATACCTTCAACAATAGATTATGAGACTGAAAATATGTTTACTTCAACTAAATGCATAAAATATATCGAGATAAGCTATCAAGAATAAAAAATAGAAAAGATAGTTTGCCATAAATTACCGCTGGATAATCCGAAAAAGGAAAAGCCAAGCCTATCTTCAAAAGCGAAACAAAACTGTATAGTTGTGTACTGCGCATTCAAAATACAGAAGCAGAAATGGCTACTAGCTACAAAAATAAATATTCGATCATGAAACTAAACAATAACAACTATCAAGTATGGAAATACAAAATTGAAATGATCCTGAAAAAGGAAAATTTATGCAATTTAATGTCTGATGATAAACCAAAAGAAATAAACGTCGAATGGCGAAAACGAGATGAACAAGCACAAGCTACCATTAGTTTACTCGTAGAAGACAACCAAATCGTACACATAAGAAATAAAACGACAGTCAAAGAAATATGGAATTAGTTAAAGAAAATACATGAAAGAAAGAATATTTCCAGTAAACTTTACCTTCTGAGAAAGCTGTATACATTAAAAACAGAAAAAAATACAAACTCGAAGAACATGTCAACAAAATGCTCGAAATCGTAGACGAACTGAGAGGAATCGGTGAAGAAATAAAGGACAGTCACATTGCAGCACTCTTACTAAGTGGCTTACCAGAAAGCTACGAAAATCTTATTACAGCTTTAGAAGCACGCCCAGAAGAACTAACGCTGGAATACGTGAAAACGAAACTCATTGACGAATGCCTGAGAAGAAAAGAAGGCACGCGAGCAGAAGAAACAACTGCCTTCAAAACGAATTTTAACACAAATTTCAAGCATTTCAATCAACAAAGATGCAATTATTGCGAAAAAAATAGGACACTTAGAAAAAGAATGCAGATTTTTAAATAACCACAAAGAAAAAGATAAAAACGAAAGTAACTCATTTTTCAAGAATGAAAAGCAAACGAATAAAGGAAACTATGGAAATAAACAGAAAACAAAACTTGCTGTAAACGAAGATACACATGAAGATGAAAACGAAAATAAGAATCTTGAGAAGACTGAGAATTACACGTTCGAAGTCACAAGAGAAAGAAAATTTCAAAACTCAAACTGGTCAGTTGACTCAGGTGCTACTTGCCATATGACCAATAACAAACTTTTTCACCAAATTGGATAGAAGCAAAACTAAGCAGATAACAATTGCTAACGGCACGCAGATGAAGTCCGAAGGTATAGGAGAAGGAAGGATACTTAAATTGTACAGACGACGAAGATAACGAAATAGAAGTGAGACTCGTAGATGTTCTGTACGTTCCTGACCTAGAAGGAGGATTGATATCCGTAAGAAGGATTTACAGCTGAATTTGAAGAAGATATTTGCAGAATAAAGAAGAAAAATAAAACCATAGGAATTGCTAAAGCAGAAGGAAATTTATACACCGTAGTTGATCGCAAAGAAAAGCCAAAATTGCAGCTGCAGAAAGAAGAGAAAATAGTATAGATCTTTGGCATAGAAGGCTAGGACACAGAAATTATGAAGCAATCAAGAGGCTAAAGAATGATGACCTGGCAACTGGATTAAGGATTGACGGAGAAGCCAAAAAGGAAAAAGAATGCGAATGCTGTATCAGAAGTAAAATGACTGAATTGCCATATCTCAAGCTAAACAACTATAGAGCAAAATCAGTTCTAGACTTGATACATTCAGATATTTGTGGACCAATTGGTACAACATCACTAGGAGAAAAGAAATACTTTGTAACATTTATCGACGATCATTCGAGATACACAACGATCTATCTGCTAGCTACAAAAGATAAGCTATCTCCAAATTAAAACAATTTGTAACCATGACGGAGAACAAATTTGGAAAAAAGCCAAAAGTCTTAAGGACAGACAATGGAGGAGGATATACAAGCAAAGTGATCGAAGACTATCTAAAGGAAGAGGGAATCGAACATCAAACCTCCGTAGCATATTCACCGCAACAAAACAGCAGAGCAGAAAGAAAAAATCGATACTTAATGGAAATGACAAGATGCCTGCTACTCTATTCAGGACTCAAAAAGAGAATTTTGGGGTGAAGCCGTAATGACAGCCACCTGTCTACAAAATAGGCTACCATCAAGATCAGTTGAAAAAACACTGTATGAACTATGGAATAATAAGAAGCCGAATCTAAGCCATATCAAAGTTTTCGGCAGCACAGCTTATTGTCGAGTTCCAAAGCAGAAAAGAAGCAAACTAGACAAAAGAGCAAAAAAGAAAATCTTGTTGGATATAGTGACCGTACTAAAGGATATAGAATTTACATGCCACATGCAAACAACGTCGTGATCAGAAGAAGCATAATATTCGATGAAAACAAAAAAGAAGAAATGCCTCGTCAATTAAATAATCAGCATGAGGAAATAGAATGGTCTTTTAAAGAAAATAAATTGACAGAACCACGTCCAAATGCTATTACAGAGGATGTAATTGAAACAGAAGAAACTCCTCTATTACCGAGAAGATTCCACAGAACGACTAAAGGAATCCCACCAAACAGATTCTCATACATGGCTAAGAATGAAGAAATCAAAGTTCCTAAAAACTGGGAAGAACTGCATCCTGCGCAAACAAGGATACGTTCAAGGAAAGGCTGATCCATGTTTCTTCACACTAATCGAGAAAAATGCAAGAACTTACATAATCATTTACGTTGATGACATATTAGTTGCGAGCAACAAAGTGAATCAATTCAAGAAGTTGAACGAAATCTTGGAGAAGTGTCTATATATCTATGAATTGAAAACGAAAGAGAAAAAGACGGAAGCTTTAAACTTCATCAAGCTAACAAAATTAAGAGTATGATCGAAAAATTTGACGGAGAGTCACCAAAGAAACTAAGCTATACACCCATGACTATGAATTTTACGAAGAACCAAAACAACCAGGATGACGTTTTTCCCGATAATCCAAAGTATAGGGAAGCAGTGGGAACACTTTTATATTTAGCAACAGTATCAAGACCTGACATAGCAAATTCTGTTGGAATACTTAGCAGAAAAGTAGAAAATCCATCAACATCGGATTGGAACGGTATCATTAAAATCATACGATATCTGAGAGCTACAATTAATTACAAATTACATCTAAAATCCAATGGTGCACCAGTCATCAAAGCTTACAGTGACGCTGATTGGGCAGGAGATACCTTTGACAGAAAATTCACATCCGGATATATTTCAAATAGGAAACAGTACGGTATCATGTGGAAGCAAGAAACAAAATTGTGTCGCCCTATCATCGACAGAAGCCGAATACATCGCTCTAGCCTTAACATTGCAGAAGGTACAGTGGATTAGACAACTGATGGGAGATTTAGGTTTCGCTCAACAGGAAGCTAACATCGTATTCGAGGACAATATATCATGCATAAATCTTTCCAGAAAAGAAAAAGGAAGCGATTACACCAAACACATCGATGTGAAATCACTACCTATGTGATCTACAAAATCAAGGGATTGTTAAATTAAAACACTGCAACAGTAAAATGATGTATGCAGACATGATCATGAAACCTTTGCCCAGACAACAGCTGGGATTTTTGTTAAAAGGAATCGGCCTTACTTCGGACAGAACAGCTCATCAAGTGGGAGATTGTGGAGCAATTCATAATGACAGCGATGAAGCTGCACACTCCGACGTTAATTTCCCCCTCACCCCCGCTAACTGAAATTAGACTTGATCCAAAAAGAAGGAGAAACATTATCCCCTTGTATGACTCACTTCTCGCGTTATGCAATGGACAGTAAACAATGCTTGTAATCATCGCTAGATATTTTATTTTCTTCTAATACCTAATAAATATGTTATTTTGTGTTTGCTAATATAATGATCGTGTTCCTTACATCTGCAGCTTGGATTACACTTTATTAAGGTAAGAACTTTAATTCTGTTTTATTCATCTGCTCGTCTCGATTTAGCGAAGTTGTAACAGTAAACAAAAATGAACCATGAATAGCTTCAACACTTTTTTCCCCTCTCAGCAGCATTAATTCATATTTTCCCCCCATAATTCTTTTTTAAATGAATTAAACCTCTTAGATTTCTTTGTTAAATTCTCACTTTGAAAACAAAAATAAAAGAATGATGCTTAAACAATTTGTTTAACCTATTGGGTTTTTCAATTTTTAGACAGTCCGTTTTCAGTTCAAACTTTGCTTTTCATAAACTTTTCACATTTAATTTTTGAAAAAAATCTTATATTATGCAAATTAGCAAGCCACTAAATACAACTCAGTAAATACTGCCAATATTATCTTTGATTATTTGCCACTAACTACCTTCCTCTTGATAAGTATCTCAGATTTCTCATAAAGCTTTGTTGCTTTGATACTCACTAGATTTAAAACTAGTAAATTTAGCTAATACTGAAAGACGTTTTTATCTTAAATTTGTCTCTGTGACCTAAGTTAATAGAATGAAATTGTAAGTGAGGGCAATCCAAATAAAAATGATACTGACTCTGCTAAAATATAAGATTAGAAACTATCGAATTCCTCTACAATGAATAAAAAAGCTTAGAAATGTTTAAAAAAAAGTTTTAAAGATACAACAGTTACACTTCAGAAAAAGCTTCATGATTGGAAAGGGGAAAATGCTAAATTACAGTTCAAATCTAAATATTATTTTACAGATTCTTTTAAGATATGGAGCAGAGCAAATCATATTTCATTTGAAAGCTTTCTGTTTACCCAGCTTGATGAAATAACTTGCATCTGTTAAAATAAACAAGCTTAGTTTTAAGCTATTGTCTGATGTTTCTCTGTTTGAAATCATACGTTAAAAAGCGGGGGAGTGAATTACTTTTAAGAGCATTGCAAAGTCAAATCTCGCATTACAATGACAACTAAAACCATGTTCACAGCTCTGTCACAAGAGTACAACTATCCTAATTATAAAGTAATACAGAGTTGCAAATTTCGGAATGAATTAAACAAAAACTCAGCAAGAGGCAATGTTTTTTCCACTCACATGATGAAATAAATATAATGATTAAAAACAAGTAAAAATACTCACTCGCCAGCCAAGCTCATAAGTTGGTCGTAACCAGTTTGCATGTGCTGGAGAATAGCTTGCAATAAGATTTGCAACTTCATTTTTCTGACTAGTTTCAAAGATAAAACATTTATGTGTGTCTGGAAGAGTTTTTATTAGATTTATTGTCACTAGATCATCACTGGGATCAACCATCACAGATTCAACATCACAATATCTATAAGCATTCAAAATGCCTTTGTCTAATAAATTCACCATCAAAATTCCTTCAGCACTAACACCAAGCAGCAGCTTATGACCTACAAAATGCAAGGAAGTTTTATAAATTATAAAAATTTCATATTAATGATACTTTAAGAAGTTACTAAAATGAACAAAGTTGCTTTAAAATGGATTTTCATGCAGCAAACCAGCTTACCATATGAAAGGTAACCTTTGTATGTAACAGGAAATAAAGTTGTGCCATATAATGGATACTGCATAACAACTGACAAGTACCAAACTTTTGCCACAAGTTCAGATTTGCCACTGCCATATATCTATTTCAAATAAAAAATAAAAAATATATCTCCGTACAAATGACATAAAGTAATACAATACAAATACATATGGCATACTGTCAAAAATGTTCTTTTATATATCATATATTAACAAAGTACAAATATTCTATTAATAAGTATATTTTATTATATGTTATATATTATTGAATAAAAGACTAAAACAAGCTAAATAAATAAATAAAAATTTTTTAGAAAAACTCTCAAAATTTAATTATGAAAATATAGTAAGCCTGTAAGGATCTTAAGTTTTACTAACGTTTATTTTATTTTAAATCTTTACTATCACTTCTTATTTTCTACTTCCGGCCAGAATTATAAGCGTGAAGGAGTTTATGCAAAGTTGTCTGGCGAACGCCAAGTATTTAAGTGTGGCCTTTTTGCCAAGCAGAAGAGAGGAAGCCGTGAGTTCGAAGCAGGCCGCTTACCTTAGAAGTTACGCAGTTGCTACTTTTTGCCTTCCAGGCCAGAGGTTTTAATCCTCTTGATAAATTAAACGTATTGTAGTGTTCACAGTCTCTGTGCTACATACGCTTTCCTGTTATTATAAGGCCAATCTTATTCTAAAGTTAAATTAGAGTTTAGTTTTATTTTGATATCTTTTAAGTTAGACCCCGAGTGGAGGGTCATTGTATTCCGAAGTACGGAAGTCATTGTATATAAAGAAAAAAATAAAGGGTTTTGTATACCCTTCGTCTGTATCCTGTCTACTTACTACAATTAGTGAACATAGCTTTAGTAAGCTCTCTGTTCTAGTAGTCAGGTCATTGTATGTTTCCGAAGAAAGTTAGAAGAAACATTGAACCTGATAGTGGCGCCCGACGAAGAATAACCATGGCCGAGTTTCAAGAAGAACCTGTGCTGCCTGCAGAAACAGCTCAGAATCCAGAAATGCCAGCTGCCGCCCTGGAAGGATTTGGGTTACATCGTCCAGACCATGCGCGCTTCGATGAAACCAGAAGCAACGTTTAATGGAAACTCACCGGTAACCAGTTTTTTGGAAAAATTGGATGACCACTTCATGCTCTACCCCGTGCACGAGTTTCAAAAAGTTACCTTAGCTACCAGCGCTTTGAGGGGCCAAGCGCTTAACTGGTTCAAATGTATCGGCAGAAGTCTCTTGGGTCAAGCAGGAAGTCCCACCTATACCTTACGAAAATTTCAAGACTGCCCTACTAAAAGCCTTCCCTGTTGTAAGGGATCGTGCGAAATTAGAAACGGAGAACTTTTCAGTATATATCAACAAAGAATGGAAAACCTCTCGAGCTTTATTTTAAGAAAAATTCACGTTTTCAAGCTCTTGTATGGAAACCGTCCGGATCCTGAAATAATTCAAGTGATTTTGCCGAGGTTACTACCCCAAGTGCAAGACTTTATTGAATTGAGAAATCCGACTACACTGGAAAAATTATTTGAGCTAGCAATCCAGTTTGAAAGTAGAAGAACGGCGGACGTCGAAAGAAGACGCCAATATCAACAGCGAAACCAATTTGGTACGCCAAGACTACAGCAAACTCAAGCACATGGCTACGGAGAAAAAGCGAATCAGTGGGCAAGGAAACCCGAGCATTCAAAAACAGCCGGCGAACGTCGACAGTTCAATAGCAACCCAGGAAAAAAGTCTCAAGGCCAGTGGAGAAAGAAGGAAAGCACGGAAAGGAAAAATAATTTAAACTAAAACGGATTTCTGCTGACGAGAGGGTGCGGAAATCCGAAGGCCACGAAAACCCCTCTTCCTACAAGTTAAATACAGTAATGGTGAAAAATTTAACTCTTCCGAAGATTGAAGTCTTGGTAAATAATATCCCGGCCACCGCACTCCTGGATACCGGCGCGCAGTGTTCCTGTGTGGCAGAAGTCTTTTTTAGAAAGTATTTTCGCAAATACCGCATATATAATGCGGATAATACAACAGTATTAGCGGCGCAAGGAGAAACAATGTAAGTGCGTAGGTAAAGTACCTTTGTACATCCGTATCAAGGACGAACAAGTAAAGGTGATGTTTTTTATAGTAAAGAATTTGCAAGCACACTTAATACTAGGAATAGACTTTCTTTCAGACGCACAAGCTACACACTGGATTTTAATGAAGCGTCTCCTTAAGCTGACGATGAAACCAGTGCGTGTAGAAAAGGTTGAACCGCCAAGGGTTAAATCTTGACCACCTGCCTAATGACGAGCAAGATAGAATCCGACAAGTGGTAAGTGAATTTGCTTCGTTATTTAGTGATATTCCAGGATTTACTCAGGTTACTAACCATAGTATTGACACCGGAGATGCATTGCCAGTTCGTCAAAAACCATACCGGTATGATAAGAATAAGGAAAAAATTATAGAATGGCATATTACCGATATGCTACGTAAAAAGATCATAACGCCCATCTCAAGTAGTTATGCTAGCCCGGTGGTTTTATGTAAGAAAAATAATGACTATCCTTTGGAGCATCCAAAAAGGTGGAGATTCGCTATTGATTACCGTAAATTAAATTCCATAACGAAATATCCGGTATATCCGTTACCGATCATAGAAGAAATTTTAAGGAACATAAAATCAACCAAATTTATGACGACTTTAGACTTAACGACTGGTTATTTTCAAATAGGGGTCAGGCCTGAGGACGTGCCTAAGACTGCTTTTATAACCAAGTCTGGCACTTATGCATTTTTGCGTATGCCGTTTGGCCTTTCAGGGGCCCCGGCAACATTTCAGCGATGATGCATGGACATTGTGTTAAGACCTGTTCTTGGAAAGTCCACATTTATCTATTTAGACGATATCATTATTACTAGTGATAATCTCGACCAACATGTACAGGATTTAAGACAGGTGTTTTCTTTATTAAATGAGGCCGGTCTAAAAGTTAATGTCGAAAAGTGCAAATTTGCAGCCCCTGAATTAAAATATTTAGGTTACAAAATATCTCAAAAAGGGATCGAGACAGATGAATCAAAAATAATCGCTGTACAAAAGTATCCGACTCCAAACACGGCAAAGAAGCTCTCTTCTTTTCTAGGACTTTGTTCATATTATAGGTCCTTTATAAAAGATTTTGCGGCTATCGCTGAGCCATTGTTAAAATTAAAAAGGAAAAAGGCAAGATTCTCGTGGACGGCCGAAGCCAATAGTGCTTTCGAAAAATTAAAACAAGCATTAACGCCCTGTGTTGAATTAGCCCCTGTGTTGAAATTTCCTGAAAAGGATGAAAATTTAGAAGTTTCAGCGGATGCTTCGGATTATGCGGTAGGAGCGGTACTTTCGCAAAATCAGCAGCCCGTGGCATTTTTTAGCCGAACTTTAAATCAAACACAAAGAAACTATTCCGCGACCGAGAGAGAGGCACTTGCAGTTCTGTTAGCAGTGCAAAAGTTCCGAGTCTATTTTGGAAAGGCGCCGATAACAGTATACTCTGATCATGCGGCGGTAACTAGATTGTACTCAGGGAAAAAATTTATCCCCAAGGTTAATAAGATGGGCACTCAAGCTGCAAGAATATAATCTGGTAATCAAGCATACCCCCGGAAAGGAAAATATCGTAGCAGATGCCCTGTCACGAATTAAATTAGACGAACAGGGTAATACCGTAAAAGTTGCAATGCTGACAGCGTGTACAATAAATTCCCGAGAAACTGTAATAACCGAACTGGGTAAGGATCCTGAGTTTGGAAGTATTTATGAGTATTTGAAGGATCCTGAAAATTTTAGCCACCAAGATATTGTGGCGATAAGAAATAGGGCGGCCCATTACGAACTAATAGATGGTCTATTATTTTTATACAAAAACTACGAATTCCAACAACGAATTTCGACCTGTTATCCCAGCTAGTCTTAGATTAAATATCCTGCAAGAGCTCCATGACAGCCCTTTAGCTTCTCATGCTGGTATTCGAAAAACTACTCAACGCGTACGCGAGGCAGTCTACTTTCCTGAACTGCAAAAGTTAACAAGGGCGTATGTCCAGTCCTGCCCAACATGTCAAGCCGTTAATTATATTAATTTCCGCCCGGCCGGGTTTCTAAATAGTATTAAATCCGAATTTCCAAATGAAATAATCGGCATCGATTTATTGGGCCCTTTCCCAAAAAGTCAGTTAAACAAAAAGTCGCTATCTCCTTGTTATAGGTTGATCATTTTAGTAAATGGACCGAAATTGTTCCCTTAAAACGAGCCTCCGCGAAATTAGTTACCGATTCTATTTTAAATAAATATATTTTAAAATACGGGGCGCCCCTAAAAGTTATATCGGATAATGGTCCTCAATTTGTAAGTAATATATTTGAAGACATGTGCCAAAAACTGGGCATACGTCATTTAAAAATGGTCCCGTATCGGCCGCAATCAAATATAGCGGAACGGGTCAACAGAAATATAGTGAAAATTATCCGTAGTTATGTTAAAAATTTTCATAAAAGCTGGGATAACTATGTCAATGAATTTGCTTTCGCCCTTAGGACCGCAAAACATGATACAACGGGCAAAACTCCTGCTGAGTTATTTCTAGGCAGAAAGATTATAACACCGTTAGATAAATTATTTTATGTGCAACAAAGAGCCCCAGAATTTAAAATGGGTGATATAGAAAAACTAATTAAAAGAAGCAAAAAGAATACGAAGTAGCACAAAGAAAACAAAAAGCTGTATTATGACTTTGAAACGACGGGGAGTAACTTATAAAGTAGGGGATGAAGTACTAAAAATTAAGCATTCACTTTCTTCAGCACCAGAAGATAAAACTGCCAAATTTTTTCCCACGCTTTGAAGGACCATATGTTATAGAAAAAATAACTCACGCTGTTGTAGTATTAAAGGCAAGAAATGGTGAAACCTGTTCCGCAAACATTGACCAGATAAAACCATTCTATGACCGTAATAAAATGCAAATCTTTTCAGATCTTTTGCAGGATCCGGTACGGCAGACACCGCAGGTACAAGTTCCAGAGGTGGGAAAACGACAAGTACAAGGGCAAGCCAATGAGAGACAGAAGCAAGTGAAAAGAAAATTGCCCCGCGGAAAAATTGAAGGTACAAAGAAAAAGAAGCCGTTCCACCGTCCAAAAAACAGAGTTCACGAACACCCCCAGAATGAAGAAGGGAGAAGGACGACGTATGTGGAAAAGACCGGGAGAAAGGACGGCAACTATAACCCGGCTGTGAAAACGGAAGATTGACTCATCCGACAGAACTCTCCGCAGCAAAAGTCGCCGAACTGCGGAAGGGCCATCAGCGGCGGAGGAAAAAGTACAAGAAAAATTTGAACGGCCAACAACGAGGTCCAAGCAGGATCACGACAGAAGTTTCCCGGTTCCACCAAGACCAGCTGCCTTCAAACGGCCAAGACCACAAGCAGAGGACAGAAGGAAGATGTTCAAGGGTGGCCGTAGTGGTGAAAAAAACGGAAGCTTCCAGAGGAAAGCACTGAAGGGCGAGCCCGTACAAGAAGGAGGATCAACCAAGCTACGGTCTGCAGCACCTTTAAAGACTGGGCCCAGAAAAGGATGTCTGAATATTACAAAGATAAGTAAAATTTTATGTTACTTTACAAACTTAAGTTAATCTTTCATTCTTACTGCAAGTGGCAGATTTCAAGAAGTTTTACCTCATGCGAGGTCTACCTTTATCGCCAAAAGGGCGAGAAATGAGTTGTGACCGATTTTCTTATTATGTTTTTCAATTACTCGCGCGTAAAACTAAAGTTGATGTATAATAGCGTTGTATAAAGACTTAAATATTGTAAAAAGTTATTGTATAAATTTTATTTAAAACATTCTAACAAGAAAGAAGTTTTAGTCTGAAAGACTTTTTGAAATGTAGTATTATTTCAATGTAGAAAGAATTGGCACTTGCTTTGAAAAGAATAGAAGTTAACAATGTACTACTAATGTATGTTTTCAAATGTGTAAAATTAACGGCATCTTGATATGTTCTTGTATACATGTGAACTGTTATTTTGAATGTTTAAGAAATACCGTGATATGGTAAAAGTGAAAGTAATGTTAAAAAATTTTGTTATTCGTGTGACTGTAAAGATTAAATCATGGTGAATATGTGTTAAAGGTTGAATGATGTAGTTAGGCTCTCTGACGCTACACTTTAGAGTTAGCCACTTTCAGAATAGTACCTCAGGGTCTAGAGTTGAAATTAGGGTGTGTTAAGAGGTCTCGTATGTTGAATTTTAACACGTTAGTGTTTTGATTGTAGGAGGAAGTGTTGAACACATAGACAGAAACACATTCGTGTTTTGGTGTTTTTACAACACATGTCAGAGAGCACGGGGAGAGATAATTAAAATAGTCATGAATGAAATAAGAATGTTAAGAAAAGTATATTCTATATGTTATTTGCAATGTCATTCTGTAACATTTCATTAAACTAGTTTTCCTTCCTTCCAGATCTCTGGAAGGAACCAGAATTGAATAAAGCTCCTGTTTAGATGCAGTACAGATGAAAAAGAAAAAAGATTGTTGTATATTCCGGGAGCTGCTATTGTAACAAATTTCTTTCTTTTAAAATTTTCTAGTTTCTAGCTAAGTTATGTTTGTAAAAGGTTTGGCCTCGCGTTAGTTTCTAGAGCTAAAAGTTTTCAACAAGGTCGTTTTAGACCTCAGTTTCAAACTAATTAACTCTGGCGGGAAGTATGTAAGGATCTTAAGTTTTACTAACGTTTATTTTATTTTAAATCTTTACTATCACTTCTTATTTTCTACTTCCGGCCAGAATTATAAGCGTGAAGGAGTTTATGCAAAGTTGTCTGGCGAACGCCAAGTATTTAAGTGTGGCCTTTTTGCCAAGCAGAAGAGAGGAAGCCGTGAGTTCGAAGCAGGCCGCTTACCTTAGAAGTTACGCAGTTGCTACTTTGCCTTCCAGGCCAGAGGTTTTAATCCTCTTGATAAATTAAACGTATTGTAGTGTTCACAGTCTCTGTGCTACATACGCTTTCTGTTATTATAAGGCCAATCTCCAATCTTATTCTAAAGTTAAATTAGAGTTTAGTTTTTATTTTGATATCTTTTAAGTTAGACCCCGAGTGGAGGGTCATTGTATTCCGAAGTACGGAAGTCATTGTATATAAAGAAAAAAAATAAAGGGTTTTGTATACCCTTCGTCTGTATCCTGTCTACTTACTACAATTAGTGAACATAGCTTTAGTAAGCTCTCTGTTCTAGTCAGGTCATTGTATGTTTCCGAAGAAAGTTAGAAGAAACATTGAACCTGATAAGCCTGGTAGAAAATATTAAGTATAAATGCTATTATATAAGGAGCTATAAAAGAACAATAAAAGCATTACTCATAAATTTAAATAAAAGGTAATAAAATAGATTTATGACAATGAAACACACATTGAGATAAATGAAAAAATTACAATAATTAAATCAGGATTTCAAAATTTTTAATATCTTAATAAATAAAACAAAAAGGATAATAAATTTAAAAGTGTTTAAAAAGAACTATTTAAATGTACTTATTAAATATGAAAGGATATCAAAAAGGAAGTACAAAATTTGAAAGAGAAAATATAAAAACAGGAAATTAAAACTGAGTATTTATTTATTATTACACTAATAAAATATTATATAAAAAACATGGGCAAAATTTAAAAGCCAATTAAATTATTACTCTTCAAAGTATTGACTTATAAAGATTATTTCCAAGATTAATGTAATTTCAACCTTATGAGCATCAGCCAAATCTGGTATCCAGTCTACATCCCTTCTAGTTTTTCTTATTCTGTGGCACAGGAAGTTACCAACTTCATTATACCTTAAAAAGAAGAACAATCAGTCATGATAAAACAGTTCAAATTATAGATATAAGAGGGTGCTAGTGAAAAAAGGCTATATGCTTTATTTCCTTAATTATCAATTTTAGGTCTGTATTTACAGTTAAAAAGTGTTCCTGACTAAGTTAAGGAAATTTTATGACAGTTTCTTATGATAGTTATGGGTCGAATAGCTTTGAAGATAGAAATTTAATCTTTTAATGCAATCTTCAAAGTTCACATGGGATAAAGAGCCAAAATAAAGTAAAAAGTTTAGAAAAAGTTTATTATGCATTAATTAAAGGTAAAATGCTTCCTGACTACATGCAAATTCATAGACATTAAAAAAAAAATAAATTTAAGACCATTTTTCAACGCATACTGTTGATCTTCTCTGGAATTTTATCGCTCCTTTTCTATCCAGTAGCAGACATTTTCCTAGGAAACAAATTGTTTCAAATGTCTGTCCCTTGATCTTTCAGCCACCTTATTAAAAATGCTTCCCAGAATGCATAGCAAGACATAGACCCACATAAGTAAACAAGCCTTACTTGGGAGCTGAAGTTGCATTGGAGTTTGGACTACTAGTTAACCCTACACTATACCATTGAGGTTGAGACAATATTTTCACTGCTATAAAAAACAGCAACCTGGTAATCTAACTGAATTTTATGCGCAAAGTTATGGAATATTTTTTGCATTTAACATTTTAAAGCCTAATGGGCATTTTTATAACTAGGCATTTTGCTCTTCAGGTATAATAAAAAAGTTAACTTTAAATTTTGAAAATCACTCCAACTCCAGTTCTGAAACTGTTCTCATTAAATTCTCTTATAAAGAGAAATTTTCTAGTTTGAAATACATATCTAAGCTTAATGCCTGAAGAAATAAAACCTGCAGCATCTTTTTATGAACACTCTATAAATAATCTAACTTATATTGCAATAATATGAATTGAAATAAAATCCTTACACTGCTGAATGTATAAAGTTCAAATGTATCCTGTTTCTTACTTAATTATATTTAATAATAATACTTTAGATGAAACAGAACATGTCTTATGTGAGATAACCAGGGTGTCTGTAAGACACCCCAACTGTAAGATAACCTAGGCTGGGTGTTAAACAGAACTTCTGCCTAGGTTATTTCACAGACTCTGATATTCACCTAACTTGTTCCACATTCAGGCACTACACTCATATTCTGAAATAAATGCTTTGTAAGATATTTAAAATCCTGCAGAGGAAGCCATTTAAAATTCTATAAATACATGTGATAAAAATATATTTAAAGTCAAAGAAATCATAAGCACTATTTTTTACTTAATTTATGACAAATACAAAAATGTGATTTTAATAAAGAATACATTAAAATTTAATTTTACTGCAAAAGATACAAATATAAGGATAAATTAATAAAACATTTTATATTACAGAATGACTACTCAATATTTTGAATTAAACAGGGGAAAGCATCCAAAAAGCTACGAGAGTGAGCAGCAATACTTTTAAAGAAAAAAATTAAATATTTTATACTTTATTGATGAAAAAAATTATTTTTATGCATGAGGCTAAAAACTACATTTTAGCTTTATTATGAATTACAGTAGAATATGGATCAGTCATTTAATGCCTTGGATGCTATCCATATTTTGTCATTTTTTTAAAAATTATAAAGCATGCTATTAATTGTTTCACTACATTTTCTATTATCCAAAAATATAGACTTTGCTGGAAATATATATATAGAGGCACACATAAAAACTGAACAAAGTCAGGAATTTGGCATGAATGTATCAATTGACACAATATACAAACTATCCTGTCAATTGATACATACAACTTTGAAGAAAGGGAAAATCTTTTGAGAAATGTGTCCAAAGATGATTACATTTATATAAAATTTTCTTATTTTTTTAATAATACTTTTAGTGCATAGACGATGTTAAATGTTTTTGAATGGCTGGTGTTGTCTTAATTGCAAGATTTCTTTAGCACTGGTGTGTTGAAATGGGGCTCTCAAACATCTACATCATTATATGCATCTTCTCTGATCATCTGATCCACTATTGCCAGTACTAACCAACTACTTCATTGCTCCATTTAAGATGGCAGTAATATATTTATTGGACCGACATACTTAATTTTGGTTCATGATATGAGTGTCTCTAAATCATATAACTGTTTTCACAATTGAGCACATTTTAAAGGTGTTTCTGCACATAATTTAGAGCAGAAAACTCGAGTAAAAATTGCCCATAAAAAAGGAATACTAGTCCTTCTCATGTTCACTAAATGAGTTGTATTACATCTCTGGCAATCATTTGTACAATTCTTCAGGCGATGCTTACATACTGAATTTTGTGACTGTTGCTTAATTTTTGTATGGCGCATGTATTTTTTAACAGAGTATATAGCTTTTAAAATAAAAATTCAAAAATATTTTAGTTTTTAATTAATTAATGACACTTATTAAAGAGACATATCATTCATTAAGTATACAGGAATTTGTTAACAAATAAATTTTACACATTTATACAGCTGATTATTTACTGTTTGTTCATTTGTGTAATTAGACTATAATAAATGCTGGGTTATAAAATTTACCTCTCAACTTTAGCTTCTTGAGGTTCACCCAAAAGTACCTGAGCTTGCAAACCTGCTAATTGTAATCCAACTCTTTCGTTTATTGGATATTCATCAGCCTTTCAAACAAAAAAATATTTTTGCAGTTATGAATTAAATAAATAGATTAATTAAAATTTTTAATTAAGTGACAAAATCTTACAGAGATTCTCATATATAAACAAATTACAGAAATTCACTGACTATTAAGAATTATTGCATAAAGTTTAAAAAAAAAAACCTACAGTCTAATGAAATTTTCGGCTGATCTTTGGAATATGGTAACTGGTAGTTTGGCGACATTTAGGAGGCGATAAAGGTTACTACCTAGGACTTTGGTGTTGGTGTATTTTAGTATAATTATGGCAAAGCACACTAGGGCCATCTGCCTAAGGGAAGGGATGCCTTCGTGGAGGACTTTCTATGGGAAACTGGCTCGTATACACGTTACACATGAGGAAAACCCCGAAAACCCCCACGCAGCCAGTCCGTTCGCGGGATTCGAACCTCAGACCGAACTACCAGTGTTCAGCGACTTTACTGCTCGGCTGCTGGTGGGCCCCTAGGACTTTGGAAATAATGTGAGAAGTACTCAGTTCCGATTACGCATTATTTTGTGTGAGGGAAATGAAAGATCATGAGATATGTCATGTGACATTAATGGACAAATTAATCGGAAATCTTTAATCGGAAAAGGGGGGGAATTTGGAAAACTGTAGTGCCTATATTATTTTGTATTAAGCTTCATTGTGTGTTGTGTGAAATAGTGGAAGTGTGCGTGCCACGTAATGAGGATTCTGAAGATTAGGTAAGTTAGTATTTTTAATCATTTGAGGATATTATTTTTATGCATTGTTCTAAATGTAAGGAGTAAATAAATTAATATGATATTATTGGAAAATTGTTATTAGCAATGATTTAGTTTAAAGTAATTAGAATTGTAATCTAATTTTTATAATTTAATGTATGTGCTTATTTATATTTTAAGTAGTGTTTTTAATTTAATTATATTTTAATTTACTGATCGTGATTTTGTGAGTTATATGTTTGTAGTATTTTGGAATAATTTGAGTAGAATACGTTGAGTATTTTTCATGCATTTTGTGAAATTTTTCTAATTTATGAGAAAAAAGCAGTGTAAAGGGATATAGTGAAGAGTGTGCGCAATGCCATTTTTGTGCAATTTGGGATGTTTTTTAAGTAAAAATAAGTCGATGTGTACATGGTTTAGTGATATTTTAATTAAATGATAGCTATTTTGTGAATTTTATGTTTGTAGGAATTTGGTATACGTTTCAGTTGAAGTAAACGTGTATGGAAATAATTTAAATATTTGACACTAAGTATTGTAACCATTTGTAATGTTGCGGTATGATTCGTTGGTGATGTTTATAAATAATAGCATTTAGAGGTAAAGTTTTTGGATATTTTATTTTTTTATAGTAGAATGTTCATCCTTGAAAGGGTATATACTTTTTGCGATCAGGTAATTATATATGTGCTTTTTACCAAGTTTAAAGATTACAGAATTTTTTTTGCATTTTCGTGCAAATTTTTGTAATTTATGAGAAAATAGCAGTGTAGATGGATAAAGTTAACCCTTTAACTGTCAAGTTATTTTGATGATTTGGGTACACAAATTGTCAAATTTTTTTATTGGAAAAACCAAATGTAGCCGAAATAAACATCTCCCGATATCAAAATCGTAAAAAACAACCTTATATTTAGCGTAGGTATAATGAAACACTCAATCGACTTCGAGGGCAGCTAAAGGTCCCTCCTCATCAGGAGAAAGAAATACATAGAAAGAAGAAAATAGGAATCACAGAAACACGTGGTGTTTCATCTCAAAATAGTGCATATAAATGTCAGCAAGTACCGGACTGAGAGGATTACCCATAGCCAATCCTTCAACTTGACGAAAATATGCATTTTGGAAAACAAAGTGGGTTTGACTTAGAGAAACTTTAGTAAGCGAAACCAACTCCTTAATTTCAGTATGTGTGAAGTGAAATTCCCGAAGCCTAGTTTCAAGACAATTTAGTGCTCCTTCGACCGGAACATTAGTAAACAATGATTTGACATCAAATGAAACCATAATGGAACGAAGTGGGGAAATATTTTTAAGTTTATCAATGACTTCAACAGAATTTTTTACAGTGTGAATATTGTTAGCAAGTAGAGGAGAAAATCTGGAAACTAAATATTTGGCCAAAGGATATGAAGCAGTACCCTATGTTGGAAAACAATTGGTCGAAAAGGAATACTGGTTTTGTGGACTTTTGGAAGAGCATAAAGTCTAGCGCAATTAGTAATAGGCGGAATAAGTGATTTCTTCAACTGAGTTGGCAGAATGTGGGAAGATTTAATAGCACTTTTTACTTTCACGAGGTCCGAAGTTGAAGGATCTTTAGGGATCGAGCAGTATGGGCCTTCATTTATCAATTTAGAGACTCCAGTATCTCCCGATATATATTCGGGTATGACAATACGATGCACTCAAAAAAAAAAAAAAATTACCCCGAGAAATACGGCGTGACATTTTCGAACACCAGTGCTGTGCCGAGATTATCTCAGCATGACAGTTAAAAGGTTAAGAGTGTGTGCATGCCATTTGTGCATTCTGATGTTTTTTCAGTAAAAAATAAGTCGACGTGGTAAATGGTTGTGGTGTGTGCTATTCTGAAAATGCGCAAGAAGTTGCGATTGTGCACTTTTCCCAATTTTGCAGTTAATATTTGTCATGATTAAGCAGTTTGTTACATAAAATTTCTAGCATAAGTGTAATTCGGCTAGTAGATTGTTGTAAAAAGTGTTCAGTAAATAAAAAGAAAAGAAACATGTCTTTACTTCATGAAGACAAAATGGCGAAGGAAAAAAAAAAATAGAAGGTTGCTGTAGCAGAGTTGGCGCGAAATTTTCGCCAAAAAATCGCCAAGTTACCATAATCCAAAGATCAACCAAATTTTCTTTAGCATAAACAAACATTATAAGATATTTTACCTTTACAACACCATGAACAGCTTGTGCAAAAAGGAGATTAACTTCTACAGGATCTTGAGGAATTTCACGAGGATTTCGGAAGAGTCTTTTGCGGAACAAAAATCGACATTCACCACCTCCCAATGCCAGTGTGGGTCCTCGTCTAGATAAAGTATTGTATTTGCTAAAAGTAGCAGAACTCCTTTGGCAGCTGAAAATTATGTTTAAAATTTTTTATTTAATTTAAAAATTTCAATAATAAATAATAAAAATTATAATAATAAAAATAATAAAATTTCAGACACTTTTAAAAATGTTTAATTATTTTAGGAAACACTAGAAAAAATACTAACAACTCCCAATTAGTAATGATATCTGCTAGGTACTCATATCCTTTTATCACATGTTCATATTCTGGTGTACTCTAAAAAACATAAAAAGCAAAAGATATGTAGTATAAGTTAAAACATTTGAGTGAAGTAATTAGTCTAAGAAGAATAATTTTTACTGGTAAAAAACAAAAATTCATAACTGAATATTCCAATTTGAATTTTTTCAAATTACAAATTATACATTAAATATTTTTAAATGTATATAATTCTTAAAAAAACAATATTACATTTAGAAAATAAACAGGTTGATTTTTCACAATAAATCCCCTTTTTTAAATAATTCAGAAAAGTCAAACATTTTAGCACATTATATACTTTTAACATGGATATTTGCAAATATCTTTGGTACGTTCTCAAACTACATACTAAAAGGATAAATTAGGTGTTCTTGTTTTAGTTTTTAACAGTTTAAAAATAAAATTCAAAACAGAAATTGTACATAATTGTCTGAATAGTTTATAGTGCTCAGCATTTCATGCACAATTTGTTAATTAGAAATTTTCTATAAAATTTTCAAAAAATTAAAATTCATTGTTATTACTTAAGAAAACTTACTTCATATAAAGCCCATCCATCAAGGCTCCTCAATCCAGTTTTAATTGCTAGTTGTTGCATAGCATCCATTGCAGTATCAGATGGTTGCACATCAATAGCCTTTGTTCTTCCATCCATGAAATAAAATCTACAAACCAAATTTCCAAGATTTCTAACAGCCTGTAATAAAAAGAATTTAATATTAAATGATGGGAAAAATATTGGTCATATAATGAAATAATTTGAAGTAATATAGATGATATATAACCTCAGATTTTTATTTGTATAAAGAAGTCAGTATTTCATTAAAAATTTTATTCAATATTATTACTTCAACTCAAATTGAAGAAAATTCTTATGCTTAATAAAAAAATTCCAGTTTGATTTAGTACACATTTTAAAGCATACTAAAAAATAAGTCAAAGAATCTAAAGATATTTACATGCAAATTTAAGCTTATGCCATTTATAATTAAAAATTTCTTTATTAATTCTTAGTAATTTGTCTTTTAGAAAGTTATTAAACTGGAACTTTTAAATTTATTTTATTAGTGTTGCAACAAGTTTTTATTTGCAAATGCAATTATATGAAATAAATTTTTATTACTAATAAAAACTTTATATTTCAGCTATGATATTTAGAATATTTTCCACCTAAAATTGTATTTATGCTTACACTTATTTCTAGAGATGATGGAGGCATCTTTCGTGGTGTAACTTTGGTACTATGAATGTGATCTAGGCACCACTGTGCATACCTTGCAATCGTAGTATCTTCACGAAGGTTTTTCCGTAAGAAACTGTTAAAGTACTGTAAAAAAAAATAGTTTACAATAAAATGATAAAGCATTAACACTGAATGAAACAGAAAAATTGTCACTTAAGTGTTTTACTTCAAATCCAGGACTTTTAAGTACCAACATTTTTATATAATGTAGGGGGGGGACAAAGGAAAAACTTGGTCCATTTTATTTAATTTTCCAATTAAATTCATCTATAAAATCAATAAAATTTTCCTTTGTATCATACTTAAGCTCATATAACGGTAATGAGAAAGTTTCAATGAAACATGGACAAAAATGAAAAATATGAAGGGAAAAAAAAGGGGGATAAGCAAAATTAAGACATCTTTTAATTTATTTCTGGTACAATACCTACAACTAATAAATTATACTTTCTAATAGAAACATTTTTTTTTTTACATTTTGGCACAATAAATCTGCATTTCACAGGAAACAATAACATGATATTTTAACCTTTGCAAAGATAGGATTTCTTGCTTCTGTCTAAATTAAAATCTTTACAAATCAATAACTTTTATATTAAGAACAAAAGAAAGATGGATTACTTTATTAAATGTTTTGCTAGGATAAAATGCAACAACACACAAGCACATGAGCAGCCAGGCTCTGAGAGTCGATTCCCTACAGGGATTATTAGTTGACTGCCGAACAAGTTGTACTAATATTTCATCCCTTAGTTCTTCCCTGTCAATGCCATATCCAACAATAGATTGGATTGCTTGAACTTCGCCTTCAGCTTTCAAGTCACCACGAAGATACCTACAAAGTTCCTGTAAAAATAGTTCAAACAATTCAATAAACAGCATATTCTTAAAATAAAATTAAAATATTGCATCCACACAATAGTTTTGTTTATCATTGACTTCTTCAGTCATATTTAAATTTTTGATCAATTGAATCAATACTTCACAAATTATTAATTATATATTATATATATATATTAAGATAAAAAATACAAATTAAAATTAACTTAAAATGCCTCTTAATGCCATTTTTTAATTTGGACTTGTCTCTAGTAATAACTTCTCTAAACTGCGTCATATCTGAAAACGTATTCCGCATTATGTCATCTTGAAACTTCTGCATAGCCTATAAGTTTCAACCAATCAGATTAACGAAAAATTTTACTATAACCATTGTTGCAATCCTACCCTACCCTCTTTCTCTGCCTATGCTTGCTAGCCGAAAGAAGTTTTCTGCTTTTCTCCTTTGGTTACAAAAGTAATGCGCCATCATCAAATTTGTGGGGAGCAGAATTGCCCCCCCCATTGTGAAGTGCCAACAAGTAATAAAGGTATATTTGGATTATCAAGTGACTTTTGTGATTCTTCAAAAGTTTCCGACTGCCAAACTAAATTTTATCATCACATATATACATATTAAACTTTACAAGAACTCTTTAAATATTTGTAATTACCGTTTAATATATGAGTACATTATCAAAGTCTACAATCCAGCATTGCGTACATAAAACTCATTATCTAAATATGCAGCACACAAACTATACTATATCATACCTGGTTAAAACAGAACATGCATATTTACTACACACTTAAATTTTATAATGAATGCTGAAATTTGATTTAAATATTTCAACAGGAAAAACTTCTAAAGTTACATTTAAAACCTTCACATGATTATAAAAAAGTAAACATTTAACATGAAAAAAAAAAAAAAAAAAAAGAGAAAAAAAAAAAAAAACTAGAAGACTACATTTTAATTACAACATTAGTTAAGAATGCAATGAATATAAGTCAATGAGCATCCATATGAAGTGGAGAAATGAAAGAATTTCTCTGAAATGCAGTACATATAGCATTATAAGCTTAATTTTCAGGTTTACATTCGTGCAATGTTTTCCTTCATATCCATAGATCTTTTATACCATTTTAACTAATTTATTACTTATATGGTTTCTACCAATTCAATTACTGTAAATTTGCTACCACCAGGCCCAGACTTAGAGACCCATGACCCCTAGGCACTTGACATTTGGGCCCTCCACCATCTCAAAGCAATTTTGGAAATTCAGCAAATTAAATGCACTAGTACAGAACATATAATTTTAATTGACTTTAATAAACATTAGAATTCAAAATAATACAGTCTATGTTACTATAGTTATGCAAAATGTAGTAAAAATATTTATTATAATATTATTTTCAAAAAAGCTTTTTGATAATGCAAGCCAGGTTTTTAAGCGTATGTAAAGATTCCACCACCGGGGTCCCTAGGTCGGTGCCTTGTAGGCCTAGGCAGAAATTCGGCACCGACTACCCACTTACGTATATTTACTCCCACCATGCACATTTTCAAATAAAAGATGCCTTACAGAGTTACGAAAGTTATTACATTTTGAAGATACAATGTATATTTATAAGCAATAATTATAGTCAAAGCAATAATTATAGTCAAAGCAATGCCTTACTGCAATATTTTCTATTGAAATTAAAAGTAAAATATTAAAATTAAAAATTAGAAGTACAGTGATAAGACAAGTTGTTTTTGACAATGAACAGTGGCATAGCTAGGGTGGGACAAGGGTGAATCTCTGTCCCTGGGTGCAGCACCTAGGGAGCACCAACTTCTGTTATGAAATTTTAGAATGAAATGTTTTATATTCTCGGCACACAAAAAGATACACAAAAACTTCAGTTGCCCCCAGGTGCTGAAAACCTTAGCTACTGGCTCTGACAATGAAATAAATATTATATATTAGTACTTGTGATTCTTAAATACTACTCACTAATCTGAAGAATTTTTTTCGATTGATATAATGCAAAATTTACATCTGCTTTAATATATTTAACATATTAATGGAATGTATAATAAATATTATACACCTTATGGTCTTAATATCACTACAGAAACTATTCTGGTTTTTAAATCTCATGGAATAATTCATGAAATGTATGCAAATAGCATGAAAAATCATGTTGCACATGTGCTAAATCTTGGTGATCTTCTGAACTTTTATATTGCTATGAAATTTGTACATAGAGGATTTTAGTACAATTACATGTGAAATTGTTGTATTTTTTTAATCTAATGTAACATAAAAAAAACTCAAGAGATATGCTGAAAAAATAAGAATGCAAGGACAAATCCATTTAACATTGAGTAAATAGGTATCTCGGTAATTGGGCGAGATATCGCCAAGCTCGCAGTGGTTTTGGCAATAAATCTTTCTCATCAAATTTAGTGACAAATCGCCCAAAGTCACCAAACTTAGCAACCATTTGGTTCGGCCCGTTTTATTAAGTATTGTTATCGACTAAATATAATTCATCACTATATTAACTGTAATCGTAATTCAACATCATACGCCTTCCAGCAATTTCGAGAAACAGAAAGTACAAGAATTATTTTGGCTGCCAGGTGAAAACTATATAAGGCTGGAGAGAGCACCTACTCTCAATTGTTGTTGTGGTTGTGAATTGTTAGTTCAGTGTCAGTTCAGAGTACTGGGATATCTCCGGGTTAGCTTTCTCTTTAGATGCATTTTGCATTGTGTTGTGTTTAATGTTCTTAATAGCTTGAAGTGTAACTACTGATTGTACTCTATGATACTGTGCATACCTGTATAAGTATTTCTGTGGAAAATTTCAAACTCTGAAATGTTTCTTTTGTTTAAAACAACTTCATCAAATTATCATCAGACCTGTGTGCATTCAATCTATTGCAAACCCACATGCACACAACAGTTCAATCTATCTTGACATCCATTTAACATTGCATTACTCTTAATAAAAACTTATAAACAAAAGTCCATGCAAAATGAAATGAAATAACAGCATCATAAAGATATTTATATTGATATTTTCTTACTTTGAAGATGGTACATGAGAGCTGAATGTTCTCAGGGTCATACATATGAACATGTGATGTAGGTATCGTACTGTTTCGCGTGTAAGTTACCATTTCATATTTGGGGATCATATCACCAGATGATTTTCTTCTCCTTGTCAACGTTTTCATGACAGTTCCACCATATTCTCTCATATGACAATTAAAATACTTTTCAGCAAACTCAATCATGTCAAAGTAATTTTCATCATCTTCCCCATTTATTTTATCTTCAGCTTCACGTTCTATTAGTCTTTTTTCAACACGCTGTTTTCTCCTAAAAATTACAGGTATGAAAATATAAATATAAAATCAAAAAATGAAATAATTATATTTATATATATATATATATATATATATATATATATATATATATATATATATAGGTATATAATAAAAGTGAATAACAAAAATAAAGTTTAAACATGGAACTTAAAGAACTTTAATTCTATATGAATATTATTTTTGGCCATTAAAAACTACCAATATTTCAACACAGATAAAAAATTAAAAAAACATTTTAGCTTGATATAGATAAATTAAAACTAGACAAAAATAATGCTAATACTTTAATTTTTTAAATCTTCTATGTCTCGTTTTTATTTTAGATATATAAGAATGTAGTTTTGGCAAAAAGCAATGAAAACACTTTAGTAAAATATTACATATGAAACATGAAAATAATTCACATGCAGGAATTACATGAAAGAGGGCAAAAACTATCCAATTAATTTAATTATACGAGAGCTTTTAAAATGAATTCTTTAATGAATAGAATTCATATTGCTGCGTTATTTTCTTCCTTCACATTCATACGGAGTTCATGAAGATTTGGAGTGAATAATGACAATGCTACTTGTTGAAGTATCGAAACACACTTTATTGGCCAGTACAGCCTCCAGGTTATCAGGCTATCCCAGTGGAGACAGCTTCACTGTAAAGCACTAGAGTACAGCTCCCGACTCTGCTTGGTCGTTCTCAAAACTCCATGTACTCTCGAGACTCTCCACTCCACAACTTGCGATGCACTCGACGACACACAGAGCACAGCTCCCGATTCTTTGGTTCAGTCATTCCCAGAGCTCATCACGCTCTCTCGATGATGCACTAACCGCGATACACTACGAGACTCTTTCGGTGCACTCGATGACCCACTTGGCATTCGCTGCCTGGCTGTCAACTCGATCCACTTCGCAGGAATTGACTCGCTAGATGAGACACCAACTCAATACTACTAACTGACTGCGGACCAGCAGGGTTTTATATAGCTTTCGGCTTGTGTTCGAGAATATTCTGGGATAAACCAGTAAGAATTTGTTCCAGAAGGTTCTCCATCCATCCATGACATATCGCCAATTTTATCGCCAAATGTGGCAACCCTGCCTTCCTTTGCTATTTTATGCCAACCCTAAACCTTCTTTGCAGGGAAGCTATCTCACCACGCCTGTACATTTTGTAACAATATATTTAACAGGAATGAAAGAATGAATACTTATATATTGTATACATAAGATTAAACACTACTGCAGCATGTATGAAATAACTCAGACATCTTTCAATTTCAGGACTCTTAATGCATTCTGAGCAAAATACATCTTTATTAATCTTGAACTTCAATTAAATGTAATATGCAAAAAAGTGTTTGCAGTACTCTTTTTTAAAAAGTTTGCCAACGAAATTTACAGAACTCAATGGCTGTTTTTGTGTGTTTTAGCATATACACCCAAGTTATTTTTTTTCTAATGTTTGTAAGCTTCTTCTCATTAATCACCCCAAAACAAATTCAACAACATTGACTGAAAAAAATAATGTACACTAAGAATCAACTATATTACATTTTTAATCTGTTAAGAAATTTCAAACTGCAAAAATTTTTAAAAAAATCATAATGATAATAACATTTTATCATATTTTGCAAATACAAAATGCCAAATATCAACACTAATAAAAAATAAATATTTGTCATTTGACCCATTTGTTTTTAAACTTAAGTTTATATTTAAATTCTAAACAATTTTCCCAAGTAACATCTTCCTATATTTTTATAAGGTTACTTTAAAAATAGGAAAAAAATGTGATTACCATAGAAACAATTAGAGAAAATTTAGACCTAAGAATTTTTAGAAATTAAGGCTTAGAAAAACTTTTAATGAAGGGCAATATTTTTTCAGATCAATAATCAAAATGTTTTCTGTAATTTTTCAACTTAAGTATATAAATTGTATAACAAATCTTATCTTCCTAGACTATTTTCTTTAAACATGTTAAAAGTCAACAACACTTGTGAAATATTCTTCAAATGTCATATCATCATTTTAAATAGAAAAAAAAATAATACCTTAGTTCTCTTTCAGGATTATCTGGATCAACAATATGCAAACGTTTAGTACCCTTCATCTGACTTTCTCCAGATTCCTGAAAACATGTAAATAATTATACATTAATAATTTTTCAGTTTAAATTCATTTTAATTTTTTCCACACTTGTGTAAAAAAAATCTCAAAACACTACAGGGAAAACAACTCAATTCAAATACTATGAAAATTATGTCAAAATAATAAAGTTGATTTCCTCATTCAATAAAAATTAAATTATATTATCAAAAATTCTAATACATGAGAAAAAAAAAGAAATTCACTATACAACTATATTTTTAAGTACATCTACAACAATAAGCTTCTGTTAGCTAATTTCACAAAGCAATAAGAAATGAATTTGCATTTTGGTTTAAATGGCCAATAAATTCCTCTCTCTTTTTTCCTCTCTGAGCAGTTCCTTCTGTTCACATATCTTTTAATGATTAGAAATTTTTGCATTAATCACAACAAAAGATTTAAGTTTCTTTCATGTTCACAGGCTTAAGAAAATAAATGAAGTTGTTTCATATTTGACAGAATTAAAATAATGCCTTCTTATTATATATTATTTGTATAACTTGTTTTTACTTTTAATATTTAACAGTAAAAACAAGTTATACAAATAAGTAAAAGTTACATACAACTAAAAACCATCTAATATTCATGCGTAAAAGAAAAGACATTAAATTCTACAAATACAAAAAGTAAAGGCTTAATTTTCATGCCATTAAATTCAAGGTGCATCCACGCGGATATGCTGTTGATGTAACTGGGAGAATGAAATGCACATCGGCAGTGAAAAGTCGTTCAAATGAAGACATGAGCAATTTCATTAAGACTATTTAGCTGATTTTATTGGAATTGACATGTTACTAATTCAAAATCTAGAGTTTTATTTGATGTGTCTTTCATTGCTTTTTCTTTTATTAGTGTCTAAGTTAAACCTGGAAGAAAACATCAAGACAGCAGCCTGACATGAGATTTAAGGATCTGCAAAATGTGCAAAAGTAATGAAGAGCTAAATGTGGAATCCCTGACATTTTGAAGATACTTTTTAATGGTTTTTAGCAATCTTGTGGCACACACAAATTCCTCATTTAGCAATTCATCATCCTTTTGCATGCTCACAGATATCCAAATCTCAGACGGGTTTATTTTTAACTCCAAATTTATGCACTAAAAAAATGTCTAACAAAACTACAAGGAAAAAAACAATGGATTTCAATAAAATAAATTAATAAACAATAAAAAAGCCATTTAAAAGTAGGGAGTGAATTATCAAATATCCCATAAGTTTTGCTTTGTCATTAAAAAAGCACGTATTAAAAAACTATAAATAGTGAACAAGGGGGGGGGAGGAAAGAATGCAGATAAAAAGAGAGAAATCAGGTACAGAATTTCTCTTATATATAATAAAAAGCCAAATCACAGCTCTAATCATGGTTCAATCTTTTAGATTATAGATAATATTATAAAAGCCCAGCTTCAGTTATACCGGTTAAGGAAAAAGTGTGGAGCACACTAAAGGTGTACCCCAGGTGAATTGATAATGTTTTCCTATACTAACTATCCTTTAAAAAGTTGCAAGCTTTATAAGAGCTCACAAAGAAAAGGTTGATTTCATCATGGAGATGAGGATCTGTATTTTTCCCAAAGAATCTAGAGTTCGCCTGTCATGGTACATTGTGCAAGCCTACCATACACCCTGCATCCAATATTTATTAAAAATAATGCTTTTGGAGATAATGAGATTACAAATAATCCTATGGGCAGTTTAAAAAGCAAGCCTGAAGTAAAATGTGTCAATAAATAAATGTTACCGGTGTTCCTCGGCCTGAGGTATGCCTTTCTCTGTAAACTACTCCTTGAGATGATGGAGACTGGACCTTTCTCCCAGTTGAAGGAGATTTGTGCATATCACCATTGACTAGTCCTACTGGTGACATAGGTGGGGGAAGAGGCGATGGAGAATCCCTATGATCTGATGCAGCACTAGGAGACCTCACTGGTGAATGGGAGCCAGACGTAATAGGACTAGAACCTGGTGGAGGCAGAGGGCTAGGCGAGGCTTCAGGTGTCCTCGCTTGGGCATCTGCTATTTGGCTATTTTCCTAAAAAAATGAGATATTCTGCAATGCTTATTTAAAAGAAAATTAAGAAAGTATTAAATTATTAAAAGTTCTGGTAAAATACATCAAAATTACAGGCTTTTTTTGACAGATGTAATATAGAAGCTTCATTTTTATTAGGAAAAAAATTTAATATCCAACATTGTTCCAGTTGAATATAATTCATCATAACCAAATACGCATTATACAAATGCATACAAAACTGATCATTTGACCTAATTCTGATTCTCAAACCTTAAATAATGATAAATATATATTTTTAATATTTTTACAGAAATTGCTTCAAAAGCTATTTATGTTTCCAGTCCACAGATATTCAGAAATTTTGCACAGCAACTATTATCATTCATAAATTTAGGCTAAATGCAAGCTAATTATGCTTTCAATAAAAATTTACAAAAACTTGAAAATTTCTTTTATAAACTAGTACATGAATAACTAGTGCATAAATAACTTTATGCACTAGTTGTATTTTTACAGTGATTGACAGATATTTCTTCCTATTTTAGAGAATAAATACATTAAACATTTTTATACATCCTAAAGAAAAAGCTAAGACAAAGCAGCATACTAAATGAAAAAAGTACAACAGTTTTAAGGGGGAGGGGAGAATTTATTTACATGAATGGGAAATTTTATTCTGGATTTTGAAATTTAAAGAGAAAAATTTTAAAGCATTTTAAGAAATTTAAATTAGTTATAAAATTTAAACTGAAATTCTGCACTTACAATTTATCAATAAGACAAAAAATTTCTCAATGTTTCTACTACAATTAAGATTTTGAAAGTTTCCAATTGAAATTCATATCTATATTTATACATTAGTAATTGCAACATAATATTGTTTTGCTTGAAATATTCCAAGCACTTTTTAAAATTGGTATTCAGTCAAACAGTATTTTAATCCTACTAAAAATCTTGGAAAAGATAAAAAATAAGATAATCAAAAACTAGAAAACATAACAAAAACTAGATATCATTACAAAGTTCATATGCAGCAGATGGTTTACAGAGAAAAGTTTAAGACAGTTTTTTATTTGTATTTCTTAAACATCATTGCATATGGTTTAAGCTTTCAAAATACTTCACTTGTAAAAATTGCTCTACTGCTATTTTTTCATGTTAAATACATTTGAAAAGGTTATTAAAATCTTTAGAAAGAGTTTCAAGCTCCAACTTAAGCAATGTGTTTTTCTTTATTTGTATTTGCAAGACATGCAAATACAAATAAAGAAAAACACATTTTGCAATGGCTTGTTAAATAAGGCAAAAAAAGATTGAGTCAATAGTATGCGTAAAAATTTCAGAAATCAAGCTGCTAACTTAAGTGTTGGCTTGGTTTATCTGATTGTAGCAAAGCACAAAAGGGCTATCTGCCTAATGAGAGGGATTTAGAGAGTTATACATATAAATTTTGCAAATAAGAAAGAAAAGAAAGGTTCAGTGATTAAAAAGTACTAATTAACAAATTATTCAATTTAAATTTCTCAAATAGCTAGAATGATCTGAAATTCAGACCTCTGGATCAACAGCAACCTCTTTATTTTCCTTTTGTTTATGCTTTACATTTGTGCATCTGATACTTTTTCACAATAAAACATGGAAAATCCAGATTATTAATTTCATTTGGTATTGATTTTGCTGACAAGGAGAAATTTAATAGAAATTTCTTTTCATGTGCAAAAAATAGATTTTGTAAATGATACTTCTAGGCCAAAAGAATTGCATTTAGTGCTCCTTGAATTTATAATAATTGCTTTGTTATTCAGATAGGTATGGGATTAGTGCCAGATCTGGTGCAGCAGAATTTAGGAGAGGCAAAATTGTCAGTATTTAAAGATGCACCAGCAATAAAATTAAGGGATGGCTTTAGAATTTAGGTAAAGCACAGGAATGCAAAAACTTCCTGTAAGAAATACCTCTGAAGAAGGGACACCACTATTTAAGAGACCCAGACTACAAAACATCTACAGTGCAGATGAAACTGGATTATTTTATCGAATTCTGACAAATAAAACTATGCTTCAAAGGATAAAAGTGCTCTCATGGTGAAAATTTCAATGAATGTCTCACTTCATTACTCTGTTGTAACATGGAAGGACAGTTTGAGCAACCACTTGTAATTGGAAAAGCCAAAAAACTAAGATGCTTGAAACTCATCAATGCAAAATCTTTATCAGTCTATTGACATCACAATACAAAATCATGGATGGTGCAAAGCATAACGTTAGAATGGTTGATTGCTCTTGATAAAACAATGTCTAAAAAAAATAGGAAATTTCTGCTATTTCTTGACAATTTGCCAGCGCACATACCAAATGTAAAATTGAAATCGGTGAAATTAGTATTTTCCCCATTTAATGCAACATCAATATTACAGCCTTTGAATCAAAGAATAATTAGGAACTTCAAGGTTCATTACAGAGAACTGTCTTTTATGGCATATTCTTTGTCAAGCTGCTTCAGAAACAGTTATCAGCCAGCAAAACGTGTCAATATATTGAATGCCATTCAGTAGATAACAAAAGCTGTTAAATCTATAGCTTCATTCATCTATAGCTTCATTCTATAAATATCACAAATTTGTGTCCAACATTGTCTTAAGCAGGCTTTGAAATTACAATTTTGAGTGCCCTCAGTGAAAATATTACAGATGAAATTGAGTTGTTTCGTCAAAATCGGAGGCAGTGCTCAAGTGCAAGAGTGTTTAGAAATTGATGAACATTCGTGTACTAAAGATACTAATAACAACATAAAATCTTTCATTTCAACTGTAGATGGTGATGTCAACCTTAATAAAAAATAGCTTGGAAAGCAGTGAGGAAGACAAAGCAAAGCCAGATGAAATGTGTTACATAAGAAATGCCTTAAAATTACAAATGCCATAAAATAAATTACAGATACCTTAAAATACATCTCCCAATTGAAACAATTTATGATTACTATTGACAACAGTGAAGAATAAGTTCATCATTGACTTTAACATCCATATGAAAAATGCACTTGCAATTTGCAGGCTTCAAACAAACCTGTGTAACGGTTTATTTTCAAAAGTGCAAAACACTATTGTTCATTTCATACATTTTTGCTATAAATAAACATTTTCAACTAAGAATTTTCATTTTTCATTCAAATAAATACCTGTGACTATGTTACTTAGTTACATATCATTTATTTAAAGCTTGATACAACCTAAATTTCTAATGAAATTAAATATTTTCAGTATGTACCTCTGAAGAAGGGACACCTCTATTTAGGGGAAAAATATCTGGTCCATTGGGTTGTTCCTTATGTGGAGGCTTACGTGCCAACGGCAAAGCCTTGAGGGCTATCTGCCTAATGGCAGATGCCTTCGTGAAGAACTTTCTAAAGAAAACTGGCTCGTATACACATTACGCACGGGGAAAACCACGAAAACGGCCATGCAGCCAGACGGTTTGTGGGATTAGAACCTCAGACTGAATAACCAGCATTCAGCGACTTTATTGCTTGGCCACCAGTGGGCCCTTTATTCGGAAGTATTACTGTAAATATCTAATAAAAATCAAGCTTACTTCCTCACTGTGTGATAGAAGCAAAACAAAATTTAGTGGAACAACATGTCTTTAGTTCTCAGTCTCATGATACATTTCCTCATAGTGTATAACAGACACTAGCTAAGTTTTATGATGATTGCTGTGAATTTGAAAGTGTTCAGATATTGTAAACAACTATCAAAATTTGCTAATTAATAGAATTTTTCATAAAATGTGCAGAAGTGGTAATAAATGAAGATGACATTACAAAAGTTTTCATTGCAATTGCAATGGCCTAATCTTCAATCAACTAAGAGAAGCAAAATCTCTATTATCCAGAAAATATTGCTACCGATAGTGAATAAAATGACAGAGAGGTTGCTGAGAATGCAAAAACTTTGACTGATAGTTTAGTAAGAATTACAGGACTTGAACAATGGAGATTTGTAAATGAAAAAGTAATTATGTCGATCTGTAGAATTAAAGAGAAAGTACTAGAACAAAACATGAAGCAAATTAAATAACTTACAGTGAAAGAAATGTTTAATGACAATGTTACAGCAAACAGATAAATACTGAGATTTATTAATTTTTTAATTTATTTTTATTTATTTATTATAGTTTTTTGGTGATTTTGATTCTTTAAAGATCATAAATGCTTCATTATTTCATAAACCACTATTTCATATTTTTATGTCACAATTTCTATATGTGATCTTACTAGATTTAAACTAATGATCTAATATTTCAAAAAATCCCAAATGCAGAATTGCTGAAGTCACGAAAAATCAAGATATCAGACTTTAGTTATGGTAATCACAGTAAAACTACAAAATATCTAGAACAACTGCTCTTTACTTCTTCTTCAACATCTTGAAGTAGAGCCTCCATCTGCTGGCCAATTTCAGACACATAATCTTGAATATTTGGTTTAGTTTCTTGCACATCACTTAAGAAAGAAAACATTTCATCCAGATCCAGGCATTCAGATGCTTCCTGTGCACGTTTGACATTGTGCTCAACAAGAGATGCAATAGCAGCCAACTCTTTCTGGGTTGCCCTGTGATAAGAAATGAAAATATATCATATTTAAATTGTAAATTTAGTATTAATTTATTGCAACATCTCCATTCAAAGTCTATATTAATTTACTTCAATTTAAACATTAAAATTCCACATTGTAATTCCATAAGAGTGTAATCAATAAATATAGTATTTTTATCATATAATCATATGCAAAAGACAAAAGCAGATTCTTTACTTTAGCATAAGTCAAAAATTATAGCTCCTGAATAAAAAAATGTTATTAGTTGTAATAAAATCTAAGCAAGGATATGAATAAATATTCACTTTAGAACATCTATGGTTTAAGTCACAAACCTATTTTTTCCATCCAAAACTGGAGTCTTAAAGGACTGATAAAGGGCAGTTTTTTATATGATCTTTCAGCAGATTTCATTGAAAGTAAGGAAATAACTTAAGTGTTACATGCAAAATTAAAAAGGCAATTAATAAATCAAATCTATTACAAACAACATTAAAAAATTTCTTAAATGATTTCTATTCCATAACTAATAGTTTTCCAGTTAGAAGTCATACAATGACAGCAAAATTTAATCTAGCTACCATAATAGCAAGATAAAAATTAAACAGAAGTAAAACAAATTTAACTTGTTTGATATTCACTGATAAAGAGTATTTTATCAAAGTAAGCATGAAAATATTTACTTTAGAATGCATGTTACTATACAATGACTTATGCTAAACTAAAAAGCATCTTATCAATGTTTACATTAAAATAAAAAACAATTAATGGCAATAACACATAAAATTTATTTACACTTATTCTGAAAGGGCAAATATGTGCAGGAAACAACATTATTTAATTGATCTCATGCTCAGCAATGCAAAAAGATGTGTTAGATCAGCAAAATTTTCACATTACAAAATTAATCATCAACAGAGCATTAAACAAGAAAATATGTCAGAGTTATTAGTTTCCACAACATGCATGAATCAGCACATGCCATTTATGAATTAGCACATGCCATTTAAAACTCAGTAAACTCACCCTCCATCCTCTTCCAATTGCCGGCTAAATAAAATAGATGACTTTATATATAACATGCCCCAATTTTTAAATGCACATATTAATATTATTATTGATACTTTTAAAAACTGTGAATCAATCTTAAGCATTATTAATTGCACATTTATCAAACTTTTTATTTACATACTAAAATACCAAAGCAATTCAACATCATCTAAGAAAATAACTAAGAACATAGCAATTTTGAATGCACGTACAAAATTACATTATACATTCAGCAGAATATGTCAATTTACAACAAAATTTCAGTTTGAGCATCCAATATAAACAAAGGTCATAAACAGCAATAATTTAAATAAGTAATAATTTAAAGGAATAAATTATACTTCTACCAAATTAGTATTTAAGTCTGATAATGGTGTTAATATGCAAAAAATGTATAAAAATTTTCAAAAGTATGAGAACAATGAGTGAATATGAGTGTAAAAGGAAGTGCAATTAACAGAAACTTTTACATCTATTACAGAAAATGTTTGCGCAAAAGAAATCAATATACTTACATAATTGATTCTTCAAGGGCAGCTCTTTCCTGCTCTTCCATCTCTAACTTTTCTTGCTCTTGTCTTTTCCTCTCTTCCTCCTCTTGTTCTTTCCTTCTCATTTCTTCTTCAACTCTTCGCATCTCTCTCAAAGCTGCAGCAACTTCTCTTGCAAACATACCTCGGACATAAGCCTACAAATGCAAATATGATGTTACCTTTAAATGTAACACATACTTGTATAATAATTTAGCATATAAGATAAACCTTAACATATAAACATACTTGTATAGTAATAGAAGCTCGCCGTATGTGCATATAATGAATCCTTTGGAAATGACCTCGAAAATACCGTTGAATAGTTATTGCAGCATTTCGATGCCTCTGGAAATCTAAAATGATTTAACACCAATTTCATTAAAATTTAAAAAAATAAATTACTAATAAAATAGCTTGTTCTTTTAACAGAGTATTTTTGGTAACAGAAGAAAGTAAATAAATATTTAAGGTCAGAAAAATGAGAAATTAATAATTAAAATGCTTCCTTTTGTTAGCAAAGCAGATACTTTTCTGTTATCGGGACTGGATTAAAAAATGTATATATATATATATATATACATGCATGTAGGGATGCATGTGTACATGTATGTAGATATAGACTAAGAATTATTTTAAACACTGAAATGATAAACTGAACAAGAGGAAGGAAACTATAAATTACATTTTCTGCAAACATAACCCCTCCAAACTTTCTGAACAATAATGGCCATTTCAACCATTAACACTTTTCTTTGATCTTCAAGAGGTTCATATATGCTTCCTCTCAAAAATACCTAAAATAACAAATAAATGCAAATAAATAATAAAAAAGAAACAAAAATTTTAAACTACTAAAAAAAGGAATATGAAAAAAAAAAATCATTGATAAAAGTTTACTTTAGTTTTCCCAATTTGCCATTCAGTTGTTGGAAAATTCATCATTGACAAAATTGCTCGTACAGCTTGCACTGGATCTTCAGGCATTTTCTTTTTTCTGACTAAACATCGATATCTTAAAAGAAACTCCCTAAATGTAGTATGAATGGGAAAACCCTACAAAAGAAATGAAAGCAGCTTTAAAGAATGAAAGATAAAATTAAATAAACAAACTAGTCTGATCATATAGAAAGTTTAAATATAAAACAAACTAAAGTTAAAAAAAATAGAGAAACAGTTATAAAAATGAGTATAATATTACTGGTATTTGACAAAGTCTGGTAAAATTTGGCACGCAGTAGCACTATGTCATCAAACAATCCAACGGATGATTTTGCTATAAAACAATATAAAAAATGCTGCATCTTTCTGACACATTGAACAGAATATGCCAACCAATGCTTGAAATCTAACTGAAACATTCTTAAAGTATGGGTGGTGCAATACATTTTTGAGAAACCATATCAAATTACTACGACAAATGTTGTACAGATATTAATGGGAGGCTACAGGCTGAAGTGGAATGGGCACAGATAATCAGAAAATTAAAACATTCTTTCAAGAAACTGGAGACAGTACAGAAACCAGGCAACATAGCGATGCTTAAACTAAGATAAAATATTTGCCTCAACTGCTTCAGAGAATTGCTATGGCACCCTTTTTCATAATTTTAAATATGACAGAGAAAATGTTTCATGCTTTACATAATTATGGATTTCTAAAAGCTTATGTACTATTTTCTTCTTACTATTATTACTAAAACCTTAGAGGATGTGGCATTCTTTTTAAAACATGAATTTAATTGAAATTATAGCCCCTAAATTTATGGGAAATATTTGGCATATGCAAATGAGTCCTTGAAAAAATGTACAATTACATTTTTAATAATTAAATTTTATTTTGAATAAAAACATGTTTTATCAGTTTTTTGTTATATATGCACAAAAATCTCCATTTGACATTAATTTATGATGGCATAACATCAATATTAGTCTCCCATTTAGCATTATTATTTTGAACTATTTATATTAAATTTATGATTTTATGCTTCCTATCTTGAATTTCTGAAGATAATTTTTAAACTAGTAGATATATCGCAATTGCTTAGCTTCAAAATGTTTCATGAATTAAACTGGGATTTAAATACAAAGACTATATTTTTATGATTCTTCATGTTATTGATTTTTTTAACAGTAAACCCTTCCTTGTGATATCAGATAATTATCAAAAGTTTTCATACTGAAATTTATTATTATTTTAACAGGATTTATAACAGATCAATCACATGTCATTAAACTAATTTATTCTGATAGAAGCTAGATATCAATAATGAAAACTGATGCATTATGTAAAAAAATTAAGTTAGCAATTGCAGTACAGCATGTAAAATTATTTTCGTTATTTCGTTATTGTTATTTGTTTTGTTTACTGTAATAGTTATTGCAGTTATGAAATTGCTATTGCAGTTTGAAAGAGAAAATAGAGCCTAAAATTCAGAGCTTAAATAAAACAGACCAAAATATTGTTTTTTTTTAAAACATTGGATAACCACAAAATAGACATTCCTGTTTCTAGTTAGAGAATAATCAACAATGAAACAAAATTGAAATCTTAGGAAATAATAAAAAATTGAATATGTGAAACATACTTCTTTACGTATCCTTATGATATCTAGCATGCCAAGGTATCTTAGTTGAGTCAAAACTTGAGTTTCATCATAGTTGTTGGCAGCTTTTTTTGTATTTGGCTTTATGCAACGTACATACCTATAGATATATTACACTTGCATTAAAAACCAGATCAGTAAATCTAAACTTCAGTTAACAGTTAATTCCATTATACAGTACAAAGTCCAAGACCCAGACTCAACAAGTCTTCGGTGCTTCTGGATTTGGCAATTTTCTCGATTTTACAGCATTTTAAATTTAATTAGATGACATGCAGAAATAATAAAATTAAAAAATGAAATTATTGTTTACAAATGAATGGAGCATTTTTTACCTTAAGGGAAACAAAACTTACAAGGAAAAAATATGAATATTTATTTGCTTCTTTCAATAAGCATTTCTTTGAAAATTTGATCAAGGAAATCTGTAGTGAATTAGCCGCTTCACCTCAAAAAGTGCTAGTCGACAACCAGGGAGCAATCTTCTTAGCCAAGAACAATGTTACTTCTGAAGTTATGTGTGTGTGATTATGGCAAAGCATCTAGGGCTATCTTCCTAAATGGAGGGATGCCTTCGTGGATGACTTTCTAAGCTCAAATGGTTTGTATACATGTTACACATGGGGAAAACCATGAAAACTCCCATGCAGCCAGCCGTTCGCGGGATTCAAACCTCGGACCAAACCACCAGTGTTCAGCGACTTTACCGCTCGGCCGCTTGTGGGCTGTTACTTCTGAAAGAAGTAAGTACATCAATATTAATTCATTTTGGGAACTATGAAGAAACTGTGACTGATGACCATGTGCCCCAGCGACATCTCGCTGATCTCTAACAAGCAGACTCAAAAAACTTTACGTACAGACTGCCAGGACTTGCATGAAAAATGATCCTAGAAGTTTATGATGAACATAAACCATTAGGTGTCCTGTATAGAGATTGACTAAAACCCAGAAAGAAGCCTGACACAATTTTTTTTAATTTTTTAGTAACATTTGTTTGCTAAGAACTTAATATGTGTCTTTAATGATACAATTCATAATAGAGGTGAGTAGTGTTTAAGCATGTAAAGCATCTACATGTCTGTAAATGTTACAACCAAGCGTGATAATTTTTTTTGGAGTATGAATACTTGCACATAGGTGTTGCAGGGGGTGTAAAAAAAAATAAGATTATTGCAGTTCCAATATTACATGATGTTGTTGGCAACAAAGTGTTGTATTATTCCTTTTCTGAGTGCATGCTGTTTTGCTTGTGCCATGTAACCTAAACCTCAAATAACTTGCCACATCACCAAGCGTAATGTCACTGACACGGTATCAGTACGAGATCGATCCGCGAACCTGTGGCTGATGCGGTTTTCGTGGTTTTCCATGTGGAACATGACTCGAGCCAGTTTCTTTAAAAGTCTCACCTAAGACCCCTCCCTTAGGAGATGCCCTCAAGTGCTTTGCCGTAATCTAATAAACCAAATCAAACCCAATATATACTCGATTGTTCAACCTGGACTATGTCATTCCTTTACTAACAAAATTCAAATTTTTACAATACATACATGTTTATTTCATCATCTTCTTGAAAAAAGAAAGAGGAAGAAACAACCCTTTTGTTAAGTGTTAAAATAAGCTTATCTTCCAAAAATTTCAGGAATGATGTAACAGAACACTAAATTAAAGCATCAAGTAATTTGCCATGCCATGGTCAGCAGAGGCCTTTACAGCTTCTTATTTGAAGTTAGTTGAAACTGTTACAAAAATATACACGATAAAAGAAATATATAGGAATGCAGCATAAGCCTGCAGTTAGGTTTCTGAATGGTATGCAAATATCCATGATAACTGGGACTCAATTCAATAAAATGACTGAAGTTCTTTCACAAGTCACACAAAAAGCAAAGCTTCTGGAAATTCATAATCACTTACATTAGATCTTTAAACTCACTATTTGAATTTTAGTTAAAATATAATATGTCAACTTTCTTTTTTGCAAAGATCTTGGTAAAAGAAAATGCTACATTTGTACCCACATTCTGGCTAAGGGGGAGGCTCATTTATCAGTCTCTTTGGATTTACTTTAAAATGCAGATCAGCATTTTGATTGCTGGGAATGGAATGCAATGTTTGCAGTATGATTCCCCTACATACAAACAAAGGGGAAGGCAATGTACTAAATGAAGAGACACTATCATCAAGAAAAATCTATGGTCAGCGATCACATGCAAAAATGATGCTTCCGTCTTTCTTTAATTGAAAAAGTAGTGACAATATAGAACTTGCATTCATAGGCAATATGGCTCATGAATATTTGGAATGATATATGCATATGCATAATCCGTTAACATATGTATATCTAACATGAAGGTATAAGACTACATTAACACCAATCAAAATATGAACAATAAAATGATTCTTTTTCTTCCATACAATTTTTTATTAGCAAGAACTTAAGGAACATTACAGTAATTTCATTTTCTACCTTCTCTCTTCCTCATTTCTTTCTATCAAACTATTTAGTTTTTCTGTTAAAAATTCCATTAGTGTATCTACACTAAAACAAATACAGTACATAATTTAAATCTATTTCATACTTCTGAAACTTCTATTTTTATAACACAATTTTTTTTAAATTATAAAAAAATACAAATATTTAATTGGACAATACCAGGGATTAGTAGAATGCAGTACATCAACAAGAGCAGTAAGTTGATGACGAAAAGCATCAGCTACAGTTGGCTTCCCTTTAGTCATGGTCCGTGATATTGTAGCAGCCGATTTAAGGCGATTTACGGTAACACTTAATAAATCCTAAATGTTGAAAATTGAGAGGAAAAAACATGTTAATTAAGCAATTAAATGACAAAAACACATACTTCAGCTTTAATAAAATATGTCATATTAAGTTACACTACAATTAAATCAAAAGCGTTTATTTGGTAGAAAAACATCTAGTTCATAAATGTAATTTTTTTATTTGTGTTATTATGAAATAAATTATATTAAGAATTAGTAAAGAACTTTGAGTAGACCAGGGATGAGCAACCCATGGCCCATCTTCCCTTTTCATGGCCAGTTAAAACTCAAGCTTGACAGAGTCCACTTTGTAGTGTTCGGATTTACGTATTTAGAAATGAGACACAATCAAGTTTAAAAATTAATTTAATTAATTAATTTAATTTTTGCACCTACATCAAAACTGATAAACTGATAACATCAAAACTGATATATCAAAACATCAAAACTGATAACATTCCGATTTAATACAAGTCAGAATCTAAATCTTTTGTCTGCAAGCTATGAAACACTGGTGGGTGTTTAAAATGTAATGTTATCAGTTGATAAAGTCTAAAAATTCAATTGACAAGGCTTACAAAGTATTTTATTCTTTAACACATAAATTGTAGCTCATTACAGTCTGACTAATCACAAGTTAGAATCAAAATCTTTCATCTGCAATGTGGTAGAATAAGTCATCTACTAATACCAGTAGCATCACATTGGTACGACCCATGTCTCATCTTTGGTGATGATGTCTGTCAGTTGCAATTTCTGTGCTGCCCATCATAAATTCATAGAGATGTGAGACTTCTACATACAGGCTAATGATCCTTCTTGAAGAATGAGCCGTCTTATTTCTCATGAATTCTCACAAAGATTTCTTCTAATGCTACAAAAGAATTGCATTTGAAACACCCACCATAAACAGTATTGTGTATCTATCATGCACGAAGTATAGCCAGATACCAATGAGAAAAGATTACTTTGTCATAAGAATAGCATATAGTACTCTTCTCTTTTCTATCTGTGCATACTACAGTCAGACTACACTGGTGTGCAAAAATTCAGGACGAAGTCGAAAAATTAGCATATCAGCTGAACGACGAGGCAGAGCAGACAGAAAGATCAATCAGGAGATTAAGTAAGGTATGTACGGTGACATGGCAGATATGCAGGTAGACGTAATGGGGGAGTGTCTGAGTAGTATAAAGCATGTTGTCGTTGTAAATCAGTATTTGGCAAAAGAGATTGCACTCCTATAGCAGTTTAAAATCACACCAGTTGCTGCCTCAGCAAGAAATGGCAAATAATCAATCTGTTAGACGACATCTGGGGCTTTACCCGAGGTCGAATCATGAGAAGTTGGAGGAAGGCCCAGTGTGACAAGTGTGGCTGCAGAGTTCAGAATTGCTCACAGCATCGTTTCACGACTTGAGACAATTCAACTACAGAACAGCTATCCGGGGGTTAGTAGTGGTCGTCCACGAACCACACCCGCAGATGACCGCTATATTGCCTTACAGGCCAGAAAAACAGGCGGCAGACAGCGGGGAAACGCTAGACACACACACAGGCGACCTGGCGACCGATATGCGTTTTACCGTGGCCAGAAGACTTCCGGTGGTGGTCTTTTTGCACGACACCTGCGGTTGTACCTCTAACGCCTGCCCATCGGAGAAGGCGTTCTCTGTGGTGCCGGGAACACCGGAATTGGAGAGACAATGAATGGGGACGAGTACTCTTTACAGATGAGAGCAGATTCTCATCGCATACTCATCTGGAGAGAGCGGGGAAGCCGCAATCATCCCTCGAACATCATTGAAAGAGACAGGTATGGAGGTGGTGGTGTTCTCGTTTGGGGAGGCATCATGCTTGGTAGTCGTACAGACCTTCACATCTTCGACGCAGGTTCAGTCAATGGGACCCGTTATTGTAACGAGATTGTTCTTCCATATGTGCGTCTTTTTTAGAGGCGCTATGGGTCCGCAGTTCCTTTTCATGGACGACAATGCACCATGTCATCGCACAGTAGCTGCCGAACAGCTCTTAGAGAGTGAGGATATTGAACGTATGGATTGGCCGGCACGATCTCCGGATCTCAATCCCATCGAGTATGTATGGGATTTTCTAAGCAGACACTTGGCAGCTCGTACCTTACTACCAGTAATGATTCCGGAGTTTCGATTGGCGCTGCAAGACGAATGGGCAGCAATGCCTCAACAACTCATTGACATCTTCATTCTCAGCATGGGCAGACGCTGTGAAACCTGTTTAGCAGTCAGGGAAGATCATATCCCCTATTAAAGACCGGATGTTTCTTGCTGGACACCCATCACAGGGATGTTTCGGCCTTCAGTCGCATTGCGCTCCATGCTACTTTTTCAATAAAGCTTCTTTTTATCCCTCTGATTTCCTCTTTTAGTAAGTGCTGCTTACATTACTCATGTCCTTACATATTGGGGATCTTACAGTATTAAATGTGTTGATTTGAAAAGCTTTTGTACAAAGTTATATTGAAAAAACCATCTCGTCCTTAATTTTTGCACACCAGTGTATGTTGCTTCTCTTTGTTTATTTTATCTGAAGAGCCAGCAAGTTGTGCAGAAGGATGCATGTCCTCTGTATTGACAGTCATTCACAATCATAAAAACTTATCATTTCTTGATAATTCTTTAAGCTTAAATAAAACTTTATTCATAAATCATAGAACTTTGAGATTTTTTTTTTCTCTGTGTGTGTGACTTGTTAGTGCATTATTGTTACAAAAAGGCAATATTTTTAAGCTTAAAAACTAATTGTATTGAAAAAATTAATTTTTTTATGTTTTGTCTTGTGAACATTAGCCCTATTTTTACAAATGGAAAAATGTCCTAGAAACAACCCCCCCCCCCAAAAAAAAGTTAAGATTGAAAAGAGAATTTTTAATGAAAAATTGTTATTTAATTTTTTCTTTCACTCTTGTAAAAGCCAAAACTGTTTGACTTTTATGCTCAGATTCAGTGTCCACGTTAAAAGAGTTATAATATTTAATAGCATTATGAGACAAAACATGACTCAAATTATAAAAACATAAAGATAAATTGAATGAATTGGAGAAAAGCTTAAAACAACAACAAAATGTATTTAAAGCTAAAGTTTTTCATCAGATTTGGTACTGAAAGTTAGTTGTGATGTTAGCCAAAAAATTAAACTATTTGCTGATGATTAAAAAAACTTTTTAACTGCTGTTACAAAAATAGTTTCCGCAGACATAGACACACACACATATATTAAAAAATTATTTCTAAATGATAAAATGCCTTATACGTGGAGACAAATTTATGCTCTTTAAAAAGGGATATTTCCATATTAAAGAAATTAATGTAAAAATAAATAAAAATCATTAGCAGAATGTATTTAAAACGTTATACATCTAAAACAAACTTTCAAGGAACTATCATATCATATGCAGCATTTCTGGAATTTCACATTTCAAAACTCTAGGTTTAAAAGAGAATGATTATAAAGTTTTATGCTTATTTTTATTTAATTTTAGTAATTTAACTAGTATTTTAAAGTGCTAAGGAAAAAGACAAAAAAAAGTTTTAATGCTATTCTTAATATGAGAAATGAAATATATTTTCATTAATGATTTTAAGCAGTATAAAATAATAACCTGGAACTTAGTAAGCTCTTGAACAAAAGAATTTGCAGATTTCTGCATGAGCTCAAAAAGCTGATCTTGTTGAACATCTTTGTTTTTCTCCAGAAATCCTTCAACTGTATATACAACATCACCTGCATAGTGTTTAATTCCAAACTCTGATTCCCAGCGACGTCTGTCATCTCCTTTAACATAATTTTCATGCCCATCAAACTCTTGATGCAATTTACCAACATATGTTAAGTCAGTGCCCTATGAAAGAAGGAAAAAAAGTATCACATATTTTAAAATTATCTTTCGCAAACTATTAAAATATAACGCATCACCATGCTTGATAAAATTTGACAGAATTACTATGTAACTGAAAGACATTTACATTTAACTGAAATACTGAATATACATGTGGTATCTGTACTTTTCACTCTCACACAAATAAGACAAAATATTTGTTTCCTAAAAAGAAAACTTATGGAATACTTAACATGTATTCCTTAAGTTTTTCCCTTTAATATTAAAAACATATCATTACTAATAAAAAATTTCCTTCTGTTACTAGATATGAGTAAACCAATTGCATAATTACTGAAATTTCTCATTTCATATGAATTCCCTTAAAGAGGAAAAAAAGGGGGGTAATCATGTAATATGAAATCTACTGCTTTTAGTCAGTTATTTCTTTCTTAGATAGCACCATTAAAACAGTATTCTGAATTTAGAATGTGTGATTAAAAAGGGAGGGAAAAATTTATTGAAAAACAGTTAAGTACTGTTATCTAAACAATAACTAAAAGTAGTAGATCACATACTACATGATTAGTAAAATATTAACTTATAAATGCATAAAATTTCATTACATTTGCTTAATATGTAAGGATCATGACAGATATTTTACTTACTTAGTTTATAAACTTATTGACTGCTAAAATTATAAAACTTCTCACAGCCTTTGAGAAATACAGATTTACATATTCTTAGTACCGAAGTTAAATACCATATGACCAATGCTTGCATTTATCAAACAATATGCCTCAAAAAGTGTTAGTTTCCAAGGAAATACCTGGGTACAGCTTAAAAAATCTCATACCTTTTCAACAAACCTATTTTAAGACTTGAATATTTTCTTTGGAACATTCCTTTCGGTAAAAGCTTTATAAATTATCAGCTTACACATATAAAACGAAAAGTTAAAATTTCTTACCCCAGGCATTCTGCATTCTTCTGAAAGTAATCTTAGAACACATTTTGGTGGCTAAAAGTAGGAAGAAAAATTCTTTTCATTCTTGATATATAATTTGTAGTATTAATGAAATATGAAAGGAAACCAATGGATGTTTTAATTTATTTTAACATTAAATATATATTTACAACTAAATAAAGAAATTTGTACCTTTTCTAAAAGTTCAAGACATGGAGTATTATCAGTGAACGTAATATGAGAATATACGATGCCTTCTTCATGATACTAGAAAGTACAAAATAAATAAAAAGTTACCTTCATGTACAAAATTAAAATAAAATTAATTTCTTGAATGATTACTAATTTTTCATATGTTTATATATAAAAAAAGCATATAAAAACACTCACTATTTCCTGTTCCAAGGCAAAAACATAATGGTTGAAAAACTTATGAAGTTTTTCATTAGTATAATTTATGCATAGTTGTTCAAAGCTATTTACCTAAAATAAAAACAGAAAACTATTAAAATTTACAACAGTTACTTCATTTTAAATACAACAAGAACATGCATGTCTTTTTGGAAACATATTAAGAGCAGTACAATAAAAAAATCTGAAAGCCTTCCGATTTTACAATATGCCCAGAGGGGTGTTTTTTTAACTTTTGTGTGCTACCTTTATTTATTAAATATCACGTTCTTTGCACATAAACGATAAAATTCATTCAACAGCAATATCGCAAAATAATTTTAAAATGAGTATATCTTTAGAATTTTCGATAAACAGTCTTGCATGCTGAAGATAAAAATGCTTCCCCCTCCCTCCCGTACAGTGTTGCCATTGCTTGCTTTGACATCCCCGAGAATTCACTAAAGTGTTACAAAATATGAAATCAATAATAAAACAAATCCCAAATTAGGGCTTCCAGATACCCATATTCGGTTGAGATTTACATTATTCAAAATTTGATGGCTCTAGGTACTGTGGTTTTATCACAATGTGAAAAACTTAGATGCATTTATGCAGATTCTTAATTATTTAATTTCCTTAAATATAATACAGGACGATAATATTTGGTGGCCAACAATTTAAAAAGTGATACGCCATTTCTAGTCATTCAACGCAAAATGCCAAAATGAAATTAATAGCCATTTGGGCTAATAATAAACCATATTTCTTATAAAAAGTATCTCTCTATCATTTTTCAAGGCAATTTATATTACTTTCCATCAAAATATGCAATATATCGAATTATAGAAACATCTTTTACTAATTACACATATTCATAATTATCAAATGATATTATAAATTATATATTTTTCAAGCTACATCGCATATATTAAAAAATAAAAGACTTATTCATTGTTCCTTTTAAATTGCCCAATTTGTTAAGCACCTAATGAAACACAAATTAAAGATTTTATGTCACACCAAATGGCAAGAACACTTGCAGGCCATGTGGAAGATAAACGGCATTGTAACATAATGCTAGGATACAAAAAAACTTGGTATTCCACTAAAGATATTCAACTTGGCAATTTGGATACTGGATATTTAATATGACTGAAATGAGCAGACTGGCGTGCCCAGTCATTTGCCATTTTATCTGCTCCAGGATTATTTTATCTGCCATTTTATCTGCTCCTATGGAAAAAGCTTCATGAATCCATGGATTCCACATGCCAACAGGAGAGAGTACAGACTACAGTGGCTTCATAATGATATGAAGGTTTAGCTGACATTTGGTGAGACTCTTGCAAATGTCCCTTAAAAATGAACCTCATATTTGCAGCTTTTTCGATAAGTTCATGATCTGTGTTTCATTTTTATCAGTTTAGTTTTTCTTCTACCAAGACACTGCATAGCCACACAAATCTAAGGATGCTAATTTATGGTTAGATAAATATCCTTCTAAGCTTGGGATCTTGCTACAGTCACATAAGTTACCAACTCTCAATATTATTAAGATGTCATATACTAAATTGTGAAATATAGTATTTCTATGCTCTCTCCTACAACAAAATGATATGACTGTTCCACAAAGCATACAGTGTTTATACAACTTTTGCATACTCTACAACAGGAGTAGTCAATTATTTTTTTAACCTACAGCCTACTTTGTAGGCAGTAAAATTTCTATACCAGCCACCTGTCCACAGTAACAAAATTTAGTGAAACTGCAAAGAAGTTTGCATATTTGTTTAGCCCAGTTTTCTATAATTTTATATTCCCATGAAGGGATGTGAATTTTTGGGGAGTGCACATGAAGAGATCTACATTTTACACAAATATAATCTTGATATTTATAATTTAGTACAGTTTGTTCATACATGATCAATGCACGGATTATAAAAATGCCTATTGATTGCAATTAAAAAAAAAAAACTCTTCTCAAAAGCAAACTCTAGATTCTGCAAACATACGTTCAAACACATAATGATGGTGATGATGATGATGATGACAATAATAATAAAAACAAGAATTGATCTGCAACTTAAAACAAATGATAATCTTTGGAAGAAATTATAAATGACAAATATCATAAGTTTAGCATGTTAAAATAAACATACAACATAAAAATGAAAATCTCCTTTCATAAAAGCAATAAAGTATATAAAAAAATGATATTTTTACTTTCAAAAAAAAATGAATACTTTATTTAATTTAGCACTGTACACAAATTTTTACTAATATTTCAAAACTGTATATATATATAATGAACATCTGATAAAGTTTAAAATAGATGTTTTAGATAAATCAGCTACACTGAAGTTTTAGCTTAAGTAAACAATCTGTATTCCACAGATTGCAGATTAAAATGGTATTCATCAACTGAAAATCTTTTTTTTTTTTTTTAATAAAATTAAGACAAGGAAATTGAATTGTTTTCCTCATAAAATGCTATCTGAAAATGATTAATAATTATATCTGCCAAACCAGACTTTCATTTCATTCAATACAAGTATTAAAAGATAGTTTACTTACATCAAAATTTTCGAAACCAAAAATGTCCAAAACCCCAAGAAATCTTTCACTATCTTGACCAGGATTTGTGCATGTATTGATATAATTAACTATCCAGGCAAATGTGCGAGAGTACAAAGCTTTTGCCATAGCATGCCTGTTTTCTCTAGCCTAAGAAGATAATTTTCAAAGCATGCTTTTTTAAAAATTACAATAAACAATAATACATATTTGTAAAGTACAATTATGTAGAAATAAAAAAAAATTAACACTTCGAAAAATTTCATACTAAATAGATACAAGAGTTATAGTTAGGAAACATATCCTAATCTTAAGCAAATTACAGGTTATACTGACTGCTGTGATACACTTTTATTTAAAATCTTAAAATTAAAAAGAAATACATTTAAATTTAAAAAGACTTAACTTTACATGTATTTAAATTTAAAATACACTTAAATTAAAAAGAAAATCACATTTATTTTATTTGCAATGCAGTAGTTAGCTGAATCACTAGCTATATTATGAATTCAGGGACTATTTGCCTCATTGAATCAACAGAATTTATATATTTATATCAAGATTTTTTTAAATTTCATATTTTTGAAACAAATAAGTTGAAATAATAATGCACACAAAATGTGCAAAAAAACTTTGGCAACTAACTTTTGGCTAGAAATTGCCAAAAGTAGCCGATCTTGGTAACTATCTGACAACATTTTGATCTGGTCTCTGTGTAGAGTCATTAAGGTTTTTGAAGCAGGATGCATGAAAAATATGCAGTCCCCACCAGGACTTGAACCCTGGATCTCTCGAATATACACTGAGTATGCTTCCAATTACACCATAAAAGCATGGAAAAAGAAGGGAGAATATACCTTATACACTCCTCCTTTCAAAGGACAACTGGGGATCAGAGGACCCAATCGCCAAATCCTGGTACAATAAATTATCGTCCAACACCTTTTAGTTTAGGTGCCACTGAAGAGATAATTTTTTCTGAAGCAGGAGAGGCGACAAATATGCAGTGCCCTTACTGGAACTCAAACTTGGAGCTCTCAAATATGCCTCGAGTATGCTTCCGATTACATCATGAAGACATGCGGAAAGGAGGGAGAAAATTCCTCATAGATGTATAACTGTAACTGGCACTGTAACTGAATAACTATAATTGATCCCTATATGTAACTGTAACCATATCCGGCCCTTATATGCAACTTTAACCAAATATGCCTTCAAGTAATTTCAAGAAACAGAAGGTACTGGAAATTCTTCAGCGGCTGGAAGAAAACTACATATGACCTGAGACAGCATCACTTCTCAGTTGCTTAATTCAACATAAGTTCAGATTATTAAGAGATCTCCAAGATTTTTAGATGTGCTTTGCATTGCATTGCATTTAATGTTCTTAGTAGTTTGAAGTGTAACTACTGATTGTACTCTGTGATACTGAGAACAGCTGTAAGTATATTTTTGTGGAGAGTTCCAGAACTATAAAGGATTTCTTTTGGTAAAAATATATTTTAGAAAGCTATCATCAGTTCTGTGTGCATTCAATCTCTTACAAACCCATTTACATGCAACAATACAATAAAGCTAAAAATAGTAACATTTTAGGATAATAAATTTAATTGCTCTATAATAGTTCTGCTGCTCTCGTTTTTTCTTATACTAACAATACTTATACATATTAACAATAATTGAATATGAAAGATTTTCTAAATTTTATTTACAAGGAAATTTTATTAATCTAGAAGCTAGAAAAAAAATTAATCTTTCTATTCTACCAGTTACTGTTTTACAAAATATTATTTTCAGCTGATTTTAAAAATTGTTTCTTTTCAACAATTTAGCTGAAATGAGTGAAATGCAAACATTTCTCAGTATAATGAATAAGCAGAAGAATTACAGTTTTAAAAGAAGATCACTATCAAAATGAAAATAGTCATAATTATGCAAGAATAATATATAATTTAAAAATTAATAACTCATCTATATTATTTATGTAAGAATTTTAAAAGGTTCTTAAAATTTTCCATTTATCATAAAAATAAAATAATTTGAATTAGTCCCTAGTTTTTAAATCATCTTAAGTCCTGAATTAATTCAAGATACATTTTTTCTTTAATACTCACTTGATATGAAATTAGACTACATAAAACTAGAGACTTTGTTGTCATTTGTAGCATTCATTTTTTCTGAATGACTCGCCTATTGTAAAATTTAGCACGTTTCATAAAATTTTCTTATTTAATCAGTAATTAATCTTCTGTAAAACCTATCACTGTTCATAATTTTCTTCAACTTTATTCCAAACAACATACTAATAAAAACAGTGATTATAAGAAAAATTAGCAAAATGACTTGATAATTGGAATCTTTAATATTATATAAAACATTGTTATTAAACATACTTCACTGATTTTTAAAGGAATTTCTGTGACATTGCCCCGGACGTTAATTTGCCGTTGGAGGGAAACCTGAGTTAGTTCTTCTGGAGGTAGTCCAAGAAGTGTGGCAACAGTCATAATAATTTCCTCATCTTCAGTAGTCAAATTGCACTTTTCACCATCCACATCTTGAAAGTTGAGATTTCCCAGCCAAAGGATGGAACTAAGTACACTAAATATACCATCACACATGTCCACTGGCACATTCAAAACTGACATAGCAAGTCTAAGGGCATCAAACATAGATGCATCTTCCACACCTTCAATTTTAATACAATTGCTTTGGTTAAGGTATGTGTAAGATTCAGCAGTACCAATCATGAACTGCTCCCTCAAGTCTCTGTTGCGTTGTGCACCAGCAACAAGCTGGTAAAAAACATGGTAATTCCTTTCTCCACGAGATTGGAATGTGATGCGAGATTGCTCAAGAAGGTAGTCCTGAATAATGCAACCTTTAATTTGGTACCTGGAGTCAAAGCACACTTGAATAAATTTACCAAACCTGCTTGAGTTATCATTCCGAACAGTCTTTGCATTGCCTGTAAAAAAAAATAATGTGTTATTTAAAAAAAAGCATTAAAAGAAACGTTTGTAAAAAAATTGCATTAAAATTGTTTTTAATTTTCTTAAAAACTACAACAGTATAACAATGAATGTAAAACGAGCACCAACTTGTATATGAAATACAGTACCAAATCTGAAATCTGGACATCCAATATCCAGAATGATATAATATCCAAACCTCCACACCATCAGCAATTTTTTAATAGAAAATTTTTGTGAAAAAGATTAGATGCTGAGAGTAGCATATGCTTAATACTTCATATAATGTGCAATAGACATTTTTTCATTATAAAGCATGTGGATGGTCCCTGTTCTCAATATCACTTCAGAACTGAATAAAGTGCCTCTATGCTGAAGAAATACTATAATTTATTAGCATAAATCTGTATGATCAATAATTTGTAGCTCTGTAGCCACCATACTGCTTGGTGTACATATCAAACCAAAACTTTCTATCAAAGATTGTCACTAATTTTACAGCTACTAAATATCACATAACTTTTACCCCATGCTTACAAATCTTTTATTATTATTATTAATCTTCTTCCCCACATGACTATCAACTCAGGGCAGCTTGTGAAATGACTTGTCCAGTAATGTCTAAAACAATATTTGTTTTAAATATTAGTAATTGAATACCAAACAACATGGTCACCTGTTATGCTGACATTACACTTGGGGATGATCACAAACTTCAGCCGTCTTCTATACTGCAAAGTGTAGTTGTTTTGAAGAAATTTAACTGAAATTTCTAAAAACATATAAATGATATTTGTAGACCATATTGTCCTGTTTAAATTAAGAACAAATGATATGTTGTTAACACAAGCTTTTTTTTTAATGCATGATATGTGATGATCTACTGGCCATCACCTGCCAGTGTCTGTGTATTTGCTGTCCATAAATGCAGTCCTGATGGAAAGCACTACCTTAAGTAATGCAGTAATTTATTTCATCAAGACTTGGATAAGCTTTAAGCATATGCAACATAACAGATAGCAAATATTTAGACTTAACACAATAGTAGCAGGACAAATTTTAGTGGTACAATACAGCTCTAGTCATCATTCTCATGATACATCAACAATAGTATATGAGGAATGCTAGCTAACCTCTATGGTGATAGCTGTGAATTTGAAGTTTTTGAATATCTCTTTAAAAAAAAAAAAAAAAAAAAAAAAAAAAAAAAAAAAATTCCAAATAATGAAATTTGTGAAGAAATGCAGAGAATTGGTAAGAAATGAAGATGATGTAACAGAAGTATTTCATTGCAATAACAATGCTCCAATAATCAATCAACTAATGCAGGGTGAAATCTGTAGTATGGTTACCCAGGTATCGCTATTGATAGTAAGGAAAGTTACAGGTTGATGAGAATGCAAAATTTCAATTGACAATTTAGTAGGAATTCTTTACGAGGTAATTAAAGGACTTGGGCAATGGAAATTTTTATATCAGGAACAAACAAAATCCTGACGAGCTAAGATCTTGGACTTTGCACTGTATTATTTAGGGTAATGCAAGTATAAGTTACTGTTCATAAGAAGAAAAGTTGAAATTACAAAATTATATACAAACTTACTAGTATACTAGGTTATCTCATAAAAACTTACTATATTCATCACAGTAAAAAATCAAGCCCCCAAAAAATTTTTGATTTTGTGATCTTTATTAGTAAAATTAGAAATTTTGAGAAAAAAATGTTGTTCAAGTTTTATTTTTATTAATTTCTTTCATAACTTTACACATATTATAAAAAATTCAGGAAAGCAAATTTTTGCAAAAGTTACATTTTATGACAGTATTCACGAGACAAATAAATATCTTGCACATTCAATTAGATCATATAATATCAATAATATAATCTAATAAAATACAAGTATATGTTTATTGCACAACCACAATGAGAATATCATATTCTGTTTACATGCAGCACAAAATATTTTAAAGAACAATTTTAATATCATTGTTTTCCAATTTAAATATAATATAGAATTTAAATTTAAAAAAATATCACTTTTTGACATTCATATCATGTTTTTCTCAGATGCATCTAACATTGATGTTACTAAGATTACATAAGAAGTTGTTGCAGAAAAATAAAAAAACTAAAATAATGAATTATGTCTTTATAGTATTAGTAATTAAGGATTCAGTAATGTAGGAATAAAAGTGTAATAATAAATAATTGTAAAGAACTAAAAGCATGCATTGCTGTTAGAGGTCAATTAAGTGTCAGATTCCTTAACTACTTCTTAGTTCTTTAAATTTCAAAAACGAATCAACAAATCATCAAAAATCACTCATTTTTGTTTACTTAAAAAACTGGGAAGGGGGGGAAAGCATTTTTAAACAAAATACACATTTATAAAGTAAAATAAATAGAGAGAATTATAAAAATTACTTTTTAATGTTGGTTTTTTTAATATGTACTAGTATGAGTAATTAAGATAAAACTAATTTTACACAGCCTGATATTCCCATATGCATTGCACATCTTTAAATTTTCAGATGCTATTTAATATTTCAACTCTGGTATATTTTTAAGCAGGATACAATAATCCTAATGCCTTGCATATAATTTAAAGATAGGGTCTTAATTAGTTTTACACATTTCAAAATGAGTAGCAGAAATATTTTTTTAAACCTTATAAAGCTAGAAAAATTATTAAGACAAATTTAAAGCTGTGGTAAAAAGATCAGTTATACTACAACTGAAAGTATGAATTCAGGATCAATAATAATATTCTTAACCATATCCAGAATATAACTGTGAGGAGTTTTTAAAAACATTACAAAAATTCTTATACTTAATAAATAAATAAATAAGATAAATAAGAAACTTTAAAATTTTAATGTGAACATTATTTATATTACTGCATGTACAATTTAACATGTTATACAATTTATAGACAACACACAAATGTAAAATAATTCAAAAAGCTCCAAGGAAACTTTTTTCATTTTGCACATTTTTTGATTACATATAATAAAATCTGTGAAAATACAACAGTAATGAGTGAAAAATTATCAAAGAGCACAGTAATTTAAATTTACAAAGATAAAATATGTAAAAGAAAAAGTTTTAAATTAACTTCATTCCACAATTTGTTTTACTTTATTTCAATTAGTAGTTAGAAAAAAATTAATTTCAGAAAATTACCAAAGGCTTCTAAAATAGTATTTGCTTCTAAAATTTGTTGTTCAATCCATGTTGAAACATTCGTTGTTACTGTACACAAGTACTGTAGGATGAATTTTGTAGTTTCAGTCTATAACAAGAGAAGAACCATCTTTAAAATTATTATTACTACTATTTCAATAACCTTAAATTAACATAAAACAAAAAAATGATATAACTGTTCCTTGTTAAAGCAAATTTTTAAAACTTTACATCAGGAAAGAAGAGGGTGGAGGATTTGTAATCATGCAAATTATGCTAATAATAATGAAAAAAACTTTTTCTTGTCTTCATTTTGTTTTTATTCAGATAATTACACAATAAGCAAACTGAGAAATTATAGACAGTGGATTTCAGGAAAAAATCACTATGCTTATTTTTATTGTATCTTGCATTCAGCACATGCTATTTCAAGAGTAATTCACATTCCTGATTATATACAGTTTGTAGATTACCATTCATTCATACATCTTTTACCTAAATTTGTAGAAATCAAAGTAAACTTGTAGTAATTCCCATGCATGCATTCAACTATGTAGTACGCGAATATACAGATCAGGTGAAAAAATACATAATACTTCGTAAACACTGACTTTAAGTATGATCTAACAAAGGGTTAAGATAAAATACATAAAATCAGATTACAACATGAAAGTTTAAATATTAGCAAAATATTCAAATACTAGTCCCCACTCTTTCATACTTTCCAAAAAAGTAAAAACTATTCACACTTTTCCATACTTTATAAATTGATCCTTTAGATAATAACTTTACTTTTTATTCCTTTCGCATGCAATAATTATTAATTTTATTAAGATACTTACTCTTTTATCTTTGAAAAACATTTTAAAAACATTGCAACGATAACGCAATTAGGAAATTATGAGCTGAGAATCTTTAAAAATATGGAAAACTTGTAATTTTAGCATATACAATATCTTGCCAACCTGCACTGTTATCTGCAGCATTGTGTCCTCTCAATTATCAACTACATGCAGCTGTACCACTGTAAGAATTATTACCACTGTTATATAAAAATATTATATTTGCAGTAATTTCATTTTCTAAGTCATCAGACCAAATTTAAGCTTGTTTAAGCCATTTCCCCTTCATAGATTTAAGACAAAATAAAAGAATCTACTGTATAAATGAAAAACTTTAAAAAAATACAATATCAAAAGCAGTTCACATACTAAGTCTGCATTAGAAATATTGTCAAAATAAAATGAAAGCACTACAATGATAGAAAAGACAATAGTGCATGCAATGAAATTGAGAAATTTATTGAACTATTTTAAATAAGAAAAGAAAATGACCCAAACTCAATAAATATGGCATACACATGATGCTGCATAGAACTAAAAAAATTTTAATAAAATAAAAAGATTTACTAATGACTAGAATCAAGGCTCAGAGCCAAATATATAAACTGTGAAAGTTGAAGGGCTTCAGCATGAAACTTTTTCAGTTCAGGCATCATTTGTAAAGTATTTTAGAATTTTTTGGAGTCAGTAAAGGTGAGATAATCAGCCATGACCTTACTAGGAAGAAAGCTACCTTGCTAAGAATAAAGTAAAGATGCTCTTCTGTTGCTGTACTTTACTCTAGATTTTAAAACAAAGGCAAACTTTGCTTTATATTAGTATTAAAAAATTTATATATATATATATATATATATATATATTATATAACACTAATTTTTACATTAAGTAAAACTTATAAATGATATATTCATAAATAGTAATTTTTTTCCTTCTGATTAATTTCTTTTTAAAGAAAATGTTAAATAAAAATTTAAGCTAAAGAAAAGTATTAAAAAATTTTTGTTTTTTGACTTCTGAATTTTGTTGATTTTGTTGTTTGACTTCTGAATTAGTATTAAAAAATCTGTCGATACATAGATTATAATTTAAGTTACTTTAATTAGTTTGAATTTTTTTTTAATATCCTTTAAATGAAATTCCTGAACTTAAATAAGATTCTCTTGGCCAAATTTAATGAAATTTATGGTGGCATTTACAAGCTAAGCGCTTTCACGGGATTAAACTTTGAAAAGTTCTCTCAGGGCAGACTTTTGCATAAATTTTCAAAATATAATGGACAGAAAATAAATATTTGAGTAACAATAAGATGCAAACTGATTTAATAATGATTAGGAAAAAGAGATGGGATAAACTGCCAAGTATAGTTTTCCTATGCCATAATTCAGCAATACTTGCACAAAATTTATAATTAACTTATCCCCTTTAAATAAGTTTGTACTCCTTCCAGAAAAATTAAAAGTCAGCAAATTTTGAATCATTACCTATGCCAATATATTAGTGCTCATCGAACATATTTGGAAATTTACCACTTTTTCCCACATGCTGAAAATACCAGATGCACAATATTCTAAGATTATTACTAATACAATAAGTTAAAACAAATTTATTTGAAAATATAATAGTATTACCTTTCCCGCACCACTTTCACCACTAATCACACAAGCTTGATTAGTATTTAATGTTTGGAGACTATTGTAGGCAGCTTCTGCTATTGCAAAAACATGAGGATCTTGTTGGCCAATTTTTTTGCCACTGTACTGTAGCACCCAGCTCTATAAAAAACACACGCTAACTTAAATATAAAAAAGAAAATTTTGTACACAAGCATGTCATATACAGCATCAGAAATGTGCCAGTTATTATTATCTAATGACAATAATAACTTCTACATGATAAAATTTATAGTTGTCAATTAGTGCTTGTTTTAAACTGAATTTGGGAAAGAACAATCCTGGAGGTAAGAGAAGATTTACTTCCTACCTCCACATGGGAACAATCTTGGGGGGGGGGGGGGGGGTGATTTCCTGCTAAAAAAAGTGTAGACAAAAAAAATAATAGTCACATATGGATAACAGCAAACGAATATACACTAGCTCTTTTCCACCCTGCACTTTTTAACAACTCCAGTTAGAAATAATCACTACAAAGTAAAGGAATGAAACTGCAGAACTATAAATCAAGTCTTATTTTCAATGTAAAAGCTGCATAGATTTATAGCTGGATATGCTAGTTTTTCACCTAGTACAATCTCTTCGATGAGATTTTTTCCGCTTTCCTTTATGTTGCAGCAATTCAAAGAGGTATGTTATGCAGGATTGAATTTAATAATTTAGATCCTTGTTTTATTTTTAATTATATATTAAATTTATTTTAATTATATTATTTTTAATTATATTATTTTTAATTATATTATTAAAAATAAAATAAGGATCTAAATTATTAAATTCAATCCTGCATAACATACCTCTTTGAATTAATGCACTTGCACCAGCTTTTCTCCAAATGCTGGGACGAAAATTGTCAAAAGTAATGCGGTTCCAGTTGTCTTTTCCTTTTAATTAATGACTTTAAGATTACTGAGACAATTAAGATTATCCTTTTATTGCAGATTTCAACTCCGTGAAAAGAAAAAATGTAACGCCATATGAGATCCGAGCTTTAGAGAGAACGTCCTCTCCCCTCGAACAAATATTCAGTTACAAATAAACTGGCACGCTATCATGTTAATAGATCCAGATCCAACATAAGGGGCACTTAAAATTTACATTGAGCTGAAAGTCCTCTTGAGAGGTTGATGATTACGGAAGAGGGGTAAGAGACCCTTGGACCTCTTCCTGGCGTGTTCTCCCTCAAAGTTTGTGCAGAAGCTTAACAGTATCAGCAATACCTCAATCACCTGCGGTACTAAAAAGGTACACTTGTGGTACTAGCTTCTACCTGTATCTGTAAGATCAAATGCTTCATCGCCACATCTGCTCTTATCAACACCCTTTAATAGAAGATCTATTAGGGGATGCAGACCTTATTCGCACAACTTAGTGCTTTAAACATTCCAGAACTTTAAGAAAAACAAGGTTGCTTAAACAATCTGTTTCTGTGGTACGAATTCTGCATACAAACCATCTTCCCCTTCATTGTCTTCAATAGATTCCTGACCATTTTTAAAAACAAAAAGCCCATTCCTATGTGCTTGTGATGTGTAGTGTTCAACATACACATCATGTAATTTATTAAAGCTTTCACATGATTTTTCACATGATTTAATAAAAAACTTAAAAAGAGTTTACTGCTTGATCTCTATTTCAGCCATTTTCCTGCCAAATTATTTCAGCCACTGGGTGCTAACATAAAATTCTGATATACATAGTTTGTATGTTAAATAAATTAAAAAAATATGTGTGAGTGAAAAATCGTTTAAACATTAAACTGAAAAAAAAAAAAAAAAAAAAAAAAAAAACTCTACAACGTTGCATTGTTATCAACAAACATATGTGCACAAATTTGAAATCAATATCTTATCAGGAAGTAGGTTAAAAATCGATGACAAAATTCCATCTACAGTGAAACACCATAAATGAATAAATAAAAGCTTATAATAAGTAGCTAACAAAATTATTTGACTTACCGTTTCATAGATGGAGAGTTCCTTGTATGGATTCACAGCAACCAAAATAGTGCCTGTGTAGGTCTAATGTTAAGCTAAGGAAACTAGATTTGCACAAAAGAATATAAGCACTACAATAAAGAGATACATCATTCTTTTGGTTTTATTATCGAATTCTGTTCTCTTATTCTGGTATGAGATGCTTTCAGACAACAACATTAAAAAAATATATTAAAAATAGAATTCTGTTCTCTTATTTATTATTATAAGATGTTTTCAGACAATATTAAAAAAAAGGAAAAAAAAATATTTAAAACTTAATATTTAACTTAAAAATCTTAATAAGATCATTTGTAAGGATTTATTTATTTTTATAACCAGTTATTTTATGTTAAATAGCTTTACTGTCATTTTCCTTTTCCGATTTCCTGCCAAAATGCCAATTTTTAATTCTTGCATATTCAAATGAGGTAGAAAGACATAGTATAAAGAAAGGTTTTTAGATTGTTTAATCAGAGAGTGTTCCACCTGCTGAAGGCCACGTTACTAGTTGCAATTCTTCGATACTAGTGGCCCAGTTTAACTATTTCCTTTCTGCGGCCCAGTTTAACTATTTCCTTGCCGCCCAGTGTCTTCGGCATTGAGTTATCCTTGGCAACATTGCTTGTTATGCCTTTATAGGTTTGAGCAAACTTGCACATTATTTATTTCTGTATAGATTTGTGGCTAACTTAACTTAAGATTTAACTTTGTTTTAAATTTGAATTGATTATTTTTGAGGTATGCCATAAATGCTGGCTGATCTACAAACACAGAAAGTACTGTCTGTTAAATTATTTGGAGCTTTGAATAAAAGGGTCTTTAACACCCTTCTTAAGTTCTGTTTCATCTTAGACATAGTAATAAGTCACTTTCATGTCTATTTAAGGACTTGCCACAAGTTACACTTAATTACAGGAACAATTCCTATACAGTCAAGCATTACAAAATACTGAACACAATGCATGCAGAATATAAAAGGCCTATTCACTTAAACAAAACAAAGCCAAAAAAAAAAAAAAAAAAAACTTGTAAATTTTATAAATATTTAAAACTTGTAAAAAATTAATTTGAAGACAAATATATTATTTTATAAATTTGAAATACGTTTATATTTTTAAAATAATTCGCATTAACAAATTTTATAATTAAGAATTTGTATTTTTAAATGAAAGCCTACAAATAAGAATTTGCATTCTTATAAGAAGTGTGGGTGTCCTTTATTTTAATACACATTTAAAAAAATACAGCATCCACTTAAAAAAATAACAGTTCCAGGACAAAGGAAGCTATACTTTTAACATGGCTACCCCTGAAAACCTGATTTTACTGGAAACAATGATGTTAACAACTAATGAAGGAGAGTTTTTCCAAAGCTTTTTTCAACTGAAAATGTAACGATAAGGCATGTTACTTCATGTTTAGTAGCATAAGTGTCTTCTCATGCTTTTAAAGATTTGATAACTATTACCTTTTATTTTTACCAATAATGACAAGAACATGATACAATGCAATTATTTACGTAGTACATTTAAATCATTAACTTGGCTGATTTTCACATTGTAGAGAATTTTTTTTTTTTTTTTTTAAATCTATGCTTTAAAATTTCGTTATTAAATTAACTTTAAATATTGTCACACAGTTTACTTTTTTTAATTAAGCTTTATTATTTCAGTTTAATTTTTTCTGTCTCTTAATATTTAATATTCTACCTCTTTCAAAAAAACTTTATATTTTTTCTTATAAATTTTATTTATGCACCTTTTTTATTTTATTTATTTATTTTAATTTTATGTTTAACTATTTCCTTGCCGCCCAGTAGGCATCCCTAAACACAATACAGAGGTTTACTGCGGTACCATAAGGCCCGGTTTTGAATCCAGGAAAAGGCATGGATGTTTGTAAATGTATAGTGCCTCTGCGGCATGGGTAAACTCTACATATATTGCGAGCCTAGTCAGTACATACATGTAGGAGGTACTGGCCTAGTCCTTTCGTGTGGTTTGGTGATAGCGGTGGGAAACCCTCGGACCCCTCCCCCAGATGCTCTCCCTGAAAATGGGGTGGCAGTAGAAGTCCAACCTCTTTGAGGCTCTGGCAACCTTTATCAATATGCGCTATATTTGTCTGTCTTAGATTTGTAACAAGAAATGAGTTCGTTTGCATCCGCTGCAGTGCGTAACTGGAATGCGAGCTGAGCTGGTTCATGATCATCAATAGGGTTAAAGAAGTTTTTGAATCATTTCTTACGTTACGCAGTTCAGGAGCACTAATTATAGATTAGATTATGCATAAAATTTTTCGAATTCCCAATAGTTCGATTAGCCCGTGAGGTAATTACGTATTAACATAACCACACCGGCGGAATCCGACGATTTTCCCCACTTTTTTGATTCCCAAACTATCGATATTTACGGTAAGTCGACAAACATTATTAAAAATAAAAATAAACATTTTTATTATTAAGTATATATACATACAATATATAAACATTATTTATATATTGTATGTATATATACATACAAAATACAACATATTTTTCACGAAACCGTTGTGCAATTTTATGCTTTCACTTAAAACAGAGAACTGCACATATCCGGCGCTAACACAAGTACGGAATTGTTAACAGGCTAAGTAAGTATCAAATGCACCTCATCATAGCTCCTTTTCACAACAAAAGTACTGTATTCCTGAAAAATAAATTACCGCAATTTCTTCTATTGTAGGCAAATTCCACAAGCGAATATTTTAAAACTAAGCTATAAAATTATCATGATTTGTCTATAAAAAGAGTTGGGACTTTGAATACAACAAAAAAAGAACGCAAACTTAAACGGCGACATTGCTTGATTAAAAGACTTACGGTTGCCTGAAGAATGCTTATACGTCAGAGTTTGGCATATTTTGGTAATTTGGCGACTTTTACTAAGCTAGTTACGCTAATACATAAGTACCACCCCTGATTGGTTAATTAGTAACAAAGAAACACCGAGTAAAGATTAGCGGACAGATGAACATAAGAAAAGCTTGACAATTTCAACCAGAATTCAGTTTTAAATTACGACTAATTTTGGGAAAATGTTTCATGCATTTCCGAGAATCTAGCATAATTCTTTCCAAAGCAGTAAAAATATTTTGCGATAATAAAATCAGAAATTTTTCATTCTAATAACTTCTGTGGCCTTAAGAACTGTTTTAGTAACTTAAATGTTCTTGGTAAACATGCCCATGTGACACATTTCTCAGAGTTTGCGTGCCACTAATACTTCTCACAGTGATACCGTAAACAAGAAGCACTGAAAGAAATGCATGTGACGAAGCGAGGAAGAGGAGGGGGTGACTTTCTATCACACCACAATCACCACTGTTATGAGCCGGCTGTAGTTTAGTAACTCTGCGACAGTCGTATCGAGTTCGTTACACCCCCTTTTCAATTACAGTAAGTGACAGAAGAAAAAATGCTGGACAGAAATTAATTGCGAATGTCACTCAGCTAAATAATCCCGCGTTCAAACGTTCCGAGAAAGCAAACAGAAGTGACACTGACATGATCCAAATGAAAATAAATTCAATGTACTTCCGATTCACTAATAAAAAAATTCGAAAATTTATAGAGTGATATTTATCAGAGAATTCCTTATCACAAGTAATACGTTTAAGACCAAAAATAATTATCTATCCTTTGCTACTACTTATTGCGATCTTTTAGACTCAATATCTCTTTTTCTTCACAGCTTTTACAGTAAGCCGATTTGCAAAGATCACAAGGATAATCTCTCCAAATGTGATGGGTAATCTTAGTACACTTGTAGCTTAGCCACTGGTGGACGTGATGGGTAAACTGAGCCACAAATTCAATATGAATACAAAAGCTATTGTGCAATATCAATCTTTCCCCATTAGACACAAATTTTTTATTAAAAATATGTTTTTTATTTCTTCAATCGGGAAAAAATTGGAGCATTTACAGAAAAAACTGGAAAGGAAAAGATTATGGAAATCAAGAAGTATAGGAACCAGGAGACCGTTAAAAGTTAGATTTCGTTATTTGTCGAACTTTTTTTTTTTAAATTTGACATTGCCAAAACATGAATATTTTCGTTATTAAAAACACTTCTGTATTTTTGTTGCGTTTCATTTAAACTTGCTTCCTTGAATTATTTTAGTTCAATTTCCCAATCCCTCAAGGCAAGTTAAAAATGACATCAAAAACTGCAAATGGATAATACCACGGCAATTCCACCATGACAGATACAAAGCATGACCTTTTTGTTAGTCAAATTGCTTTGCGACGGTGCCGACGGGTTCACCGGTCGCAGAACAACCCCTTTTCGGCTTGTATTGTTGAAGTAAATCCACGTTTCATTACAAGTGACGATCCGGCCCAGAATTTTGTCCCTGCGTTGATATTCGAGCGAATTAGCGCAGGCCCGAACTCGTCTGTCCATATCTGCTTGAGTCAGCTCATGCGGACCCAGCGATTGAACTTGTACGTCAAGTTTATGCGACGCATAGCGCAATCAGTGGACATGGCACTAACGTCTAACTCCTTAGCAAACTCTCGAGTGGTTGCATCTTCCACAAGTTCTCACAAGCGGGGTCTCATCAACATCAGTAGGCCGACCAGGGCGCTTTGCTTCTTGAATGTCATAGTCCTTGTTTTTGATCTTTCCGTACCAAACCTTCAGTGTCATATGATACAACATTAGTACCTAAAACTAGACATATGATTTGGTGACATTCTGCAGTTGACTTTTTGCAACAGAACTGGAAATAAATGATGGTCCTAATCTAGTAGCGTGATAGTTCCATTTCAGACGCCTTGTACTTAACGATAACAGTATTTTTTTACAAATTTCACAACACAGTATTCTAAAGAAAGTCCCTTTCTTTCAAATGACAAAAATTGTTTGACAAAATATGATTGAACACGCCAACGCGAACTGTTTGCGGAGATGATATTTGAGGGGGGGGCACTTTCGTTAAAACCCAATGTATACCTACACACTAGCCAGTCCCATTTTTTGATCATTCGGCCGGCTAGG